TGCTACAGCCACTAGCAACACCAGACAGGCCCTGGGGCTCCATATCCCTCGACTTCATCGAAGGACTACCACCATCGAAGAAGTATGACTCCAAGACCTATGACTCTATCTTAGTCATTGTCGACCGGTTAACCAAGTTTGCCATACTAGCTCCAACCCATAAGACAGTCACGGCCAAACAGACTGCAGTATTGCTATATGGACACATGGTTAGACTCTTTGGATATCCAGATCACATGGTCTCGGACCAAGGCAGGCAGTTCATATCAGGAGCATGGAAGGCATTTGCAGAGCAAATGGGTGTGAAGCACTCACTTAGTATGGCTTACCATCCTCAAACTGATGGTCAGACAGAGAGAGTCAATCAGGTCATAGAGCAATACCTCAGGATGTACTGCAACTATGAACAGGATGACTGGGCCAACCTGCTGGACACTGCAGCCTTTGTATACAACAACACAGTCCACAACAGCATTGGTGTCTCACCATTCTTTGCATGCTATGGATGGAACCCCAAAGCTCATCCTGACATCCCTCAACGACTAGGAGTCAATGATCCAGGTCACTTCGAGTACCTCATGGATGGAAAGGAGCGTTGCAAGTACCTCCAGGAGCAGATCAGAGAGGCACAACGGAGATCAGTAGACCAGTATAACAGGAAGCACAAGGACATCGAGTTTAAGGTGGGTGATATGGTCTATATCAACCGTCGAAACTGGAAGACAAGGAGACCCACACCCAAGTTAGACACCTGGTTTGCAGGACCCTACCCAGTTCAGGAACGGGTAGGACGCCGAGCTTATCGAATCACATTGCCAGCAAACCTTAGGGTGCATGATGTGTTCCATGTCTCCATGCTCGAGCCAGCAAGAACAAGTTCTCTTCCTCAGCATGCTGAACAGCCCACCATACCATCACTTCCAGATGAGGACCTCGACTTCTAAGTCGAAGCACTCATCGACAAGCGTTCACACAATGGGACTACAGAGTACAAGGTGTTGTGGAGAGGGTACTCAGAAGAAGCTGCTTCATGGGAACCAGTAGAGAACCTCAACTGTCCCGACCTCATCCAGGAGTATGAGGTGTCGGAGGGGGGACGAGTGAGTAGACAAAGTAGAGAACAGGAGGAGTAGAGAGAGGAAGAGGAAGGAGGATGACGTTGAGAGAAGGAGGAAGGATGATGTTGGCGATGTTGTCGAGGAGGAGGAGGAGGAGGAGTCAGCATGGACCAGACCAGAGCATGCCTCAACGGAGCTCGGCTCTTAAGAGGGGGGTAGTGTCATGGGCCTGGATGCTCAAGAAGCAGGAGAGTCACGGGTTCATATGGAAGGAGCACAGGTATCGAAGATCTAGTTGAGATCAGTAGAGAGCATGGTCGTAGTGCAGTCTCCATGGAGACCATGGACTCCTATGGACTCACATGCAAAGGAGGGCCAAGCACAGCCACGAGGAGGACCAAGCTCAAGGAGCAGGCACAGCCACGAAGAGGACCAAGCTCAAGGAGCATGCAGATGGTTACCACTCAGGGGCTCGAGAGATAAGAGCCAAAGGAACTGTCACTGATCAAAGGAGGAGGAGCAGTGTCGAAGGAGTCGACACCAGGTCATGAGGAGGAGGAGCAGTGTCGAAGGAGTTGACATCAGGTCATGAGGAGGAGGAGCAGTGTCGAAGGAGTTGACACCAGGTCATGAGGAGGAGGAGCAGTGTCGAAGGAGTCGACACAGCTCAAGAGGCACAGGGGTGCCAAGCAGGAGAGGCCCCTGAGCAGTACTCGATGAAGAAGGTACTCTCAGGAGAGAGAGCAGGAGCAGCATCGCTGGCGATGCTGAGAAGAGGTATATAACCATGCTTTCTCATCATCATAGGTCGAGTGGATCCTCATCCACTCTACTCACCATACAACTAGTCAATACTTTAGAAACACAAGTACTCATTAGTTACAGTCAGCATAGCAGCACTCTATCAAGGTTGCTCCTCATCGTAGTGTGTGTGTTGTATCACCACTACCTGACGTCCAAAGGCGCCCATAGCAGGTTAGCGGTCCGGATATAGATAGAACTGAAGGCAGTAGTCCACTGCAGTCCGGGGATCACTTCAAGCATCAAGTCAACACACTGGACACTCGTGTTGATGCCACCAACCTTACCACCAACACCATCAACCTCATTATCATCAACATCACCAATCTCATCACCAACACCATCAACCTCATCATCATCAACACTCACACCAGACCTTGGTGTCATCATAACATTGATATTGATCATGCCGAGCTACCCCTGAACGGAGTGTCCACAGAGGTCAGCCAAAACCTACGATAGTATATACAATGAACGCCACCTGCTGTCACTGCACAACTTGATAGTCACCGATACCAAGACAATAGCTGTCGCACAGTTTGATAGTCACCGAGTATCTCAACAGACCGACCTGGGTTTCAGGCGCGAGACCCCTGACACCACCCCTTCCCATGTCATACAGCCCCAGATCATGATGGAGCTGCTGCCAAACTTGACTGTGGGCTGGACAAGCTTACTGTTGAAGCTGGCATTCTTAATCCAACAGAACTGCTTACCATCTGGTCCAAAGAAGTTGATCTTTGTCTCATCCAACCATACAACCTTCTTCCAATCCTCAACAGTCATATCCTTGTGCTCATTGGCAAACTTTGACTTGAAACATCTCCTGCAGTGCATGACATGCTTTCCTGACAGAGGAGGTGCAATTGAGCTTGAAATAGTGGTCCAGGAAGCAAACATGATGGGGCTGGAGTTTTTTTGGCCAGCCCCCCTTTGACTTTGGAACATCAGCAGAGGTGCTTTTGCTGATGTGATTCACAGTAGACTTGCTCATACCAAGTTGCTTGGCAACTGAACAGGTAGATTCCCCATTTTGGAGGTGAAAGAGTGCAGATTGGTGCTTCTCTGGGGTGGTTTTCAGCATGATGGTATAGATATGATGGTGTCAGACTGGAAGTGCCACTGGATTGCTCACAATCATCTGATTGAGCTGAAACTTTCCATGTCACTACTTTCAATGTATATGAAGGCTCTGACCAAGTTACATTGCAAGTTTCATTGTAGTCGACAGCCCACAAGGTCAGGAATGGAGCAGTGTTGCTATGTGGTGGCATGCTCCATAAACTGTCCCACAATAATAAAAAATTCTTGGCTCTTCTTCAAAGCACAATTTTCTCAGGCAATGTCAATATCAATTACACAGTCTTGGAGAGAAGAAGCAGAGCTTTCAGAGGATATCAGACAGTGTGGCATTCAGACATATGGCTATTGAGCATTGGAGTGATGTGTGGTGACATCTAAAATTGTGGAACAGTTTATGTGCGAGCTGTAGTATGCACTATAGTGAAATGTAAAGTGAAGTATATACAAAAAAAAAAAAAAAAAAAAAACCCACAGAAAAGTGGGGAAAAATATTTGAAGCCAGACGCTTTGGCAGACTGTTGGATAACAGTGTCAAGTGTCTTGATGCGAAAGTTGGGCGAAATTGCTTGAGGTTTGGGTCCAATCTTGAAAAATCTTGAGGTTTTTTTGGGCAAATAAAAAACAACTTTTTTGAAGAGATACAGTGAAGTATCACCCTTCCAACAGCTTTGAAGCGAGGCTGGCCAGGCCTATGTGCTGTAAGTGTCAATGAAGGGCAGGTCTCTTGTGCAGGAGCTCTGTATGGCACCTAGGATACCTAGTCAAGAGACAACACAATATTCCCAATGAACAATGTTGCTTGGATGCCTGCTTGCAGTATGGGGTTCGATAGAGCTTGAGGAGACAAAGAGAACGAGCTATAGACATCAAGAATCGAATCACAGGGCGAGGAGATATAGTCAAAAAAAGTTTATCACTATACATAGTATATATACTTACTGTAAGCGGTTGTGTGCCTGAAACCCGAAATCTACTGGAAAGGTTGATTAGGATTGGTCTCGGTGAAACCTCTCGAACGAGCTCTTTATAATGGCTTCACTGAGATTGGATGAGGATCCACTTGACTACTGTGACTAGAAGATGAGTATATATGAACCCATTCATGAGCTTGGTCACACCGCAGCATTCCGGCACCTCTACAACGTTGAACACACACACTACAGCTGCTACGAGTTCGGCTACTCCCTCACTACCGCCTCGACCCGCTCACAGTCCGATGACATCCATCGCAGAGCCAACCTGACCGAGCCTAGACTCACGCCATTCGCGGCACTCTTCCACGATCACCTTGCCAATCTCTCCTGTACCTCCAACGCCTTCAGCATTCGCTCCACCACCTGGACCTCCACCTACCGCCTCTTCATCTTCCACCTCATCTCGACCACCAGCAAGACCCAATGACAGCTATCGGCCAACTACGGCGCATTGAACGCGCTGCGCTGCCAAGAGAAAAAGGTGCAAAGCGAATCCAAGCCCGCGACTCTACACTTTTCATGATTAATGTCAACATGTTCCATCTCGTCGTGTCCCTTTCTGGGCTTCGTTACCGAGTTGACAACAAGTATTCACTCAGCTGGGGATAGCGCAGTCATCCGGGCAAGATTGCCTGCATCGACGTCCAATTCTCACCCCTTCTTCAGGACTTGCATCTCTCACTCAAGACTGCAAACCAAGCTCACTTTCCTTGCCCACGAGCACAAATCGCACAGCAAACAACTATGGATGCTGCGCATACTTGTACAATTGTCTAAAAAGTATTCACAATGAGATAGAGATGGATGCGAATGATGATCAATGGAGAAAAAAGAAAAGAAAGAAAAAACATGTCTTCGGATGCAGCAGCCAAAAGTTGCTTGAGGTATCATGATTGTTTGTTTGCGTCCCAAAGCAGGTCTTGAGAAGCTCGGTTTTGAGAAGCTCGAGCGGGGGGGGGGTTTGCTTTTGTTTTTGTTTTTTTTTGTTTTTGTTTTTGTTTTTGTTTTTGTTTTGTTTTTTTTTTTTTTTTTTTGAGAAGCTTGGATGCCAGCTTAAGCCTTAGTAACAGACTCCTTAGTAGTCTCACCACCTTTCTCCGTCACTACCTTTCTCCGAAGCACCCTCCAAACCCTGAGTCGGGGTATGCACTCTAGTGTGATCGACACTAGCACTTGAAGGATTGCCACTAACGCCCCCCTGCTTCTCCACATCTCCCCGCTTGGCCCCAAATACGGGACCGCCATCTTCAGTGTCATCGCTCGCTGCATACTTGCTCCTTGCTCTAATCGTTGCACCGTACTTGATCAGAATAAACGGTAGAGGCACTGCCAATAACAACAAACATGCCAACAACAAACCAGCATAGGGTACTGTCAGGTTGTGGAACATCTGAGTGGAAAACAAGGGGAAGGAAGCAGCGAGTGCGTTTCGAACAAAGCCTTGAGCCGAGATAGCTGAAGCACCGTATTCCGATCCATAAGCATCAGCAAGATAGTTCTGGATAGCTTCAAAGATCTGGTAGATACCCATTACCAAAGGGACGAGGGCGATTTCGGGTGCAATCCAGTGAACGTGCTTGTAGGAAGTGAAAGCAAAGATAAACATGCCGATGGTGGCCAAGATACCACCAACGGCAGCGTAGTATAGACGAGCTTCGGGGACAGCAACACCGCCGTTGCGAGTCTGTGCTCGGTCGTAGAGGTACTTGCCGTGGAACGACAAACCGAATGCGAGGAAACAAGCAATCAAGGGACCAATGTAGGCGAGACCTCCATTGCCAACACCCCAGCCGTGAATCTCCTGGAAAACGATAGGGATGGCCGAGAAGAAGGCAAAGATGAGAGCCCAAGCGTAGGCAATGTAGAGCGAAAAGCAGAAGACAACGGGCTCCGAGACGAGCAAGAGAGCAGCACGAGTAGTCGAAGCGTGGAGCAAAGCCTTGAGCGAAGGAGCCTCGAGCTCAGAGGGTGCTCGGTATCGCTGATCTCCAGTGTCCTTACGAAGCTTCTGAGCGCGGCGAGCAAGGATGACAGAGCCACGAGTTTCGCGAAGGAGGACAAACTCTAGAATGACAACGGCACCGTTGACGATGAGCTGTACCCACTGGATCCATCGCCATCCCTTCTCCTGCAAAATGTAACCGCAGTAGAGAGGAGCACCGACGGTACCGGCGACGGCGACAAGCGAGAAGAGAGCGACGGGAAGACCACGGTGCTTTGTCTTCCAGATGTCAGCAAGTGTACCGGGAATGATGGTAGTACCAGCAGCACCGAAAGCACCGCTAAGGAATCGAGCTACGAGAACGGTCTCAATGTTCTTGGCGAGAGCGAGGGGAATGAACCAGACGGTGAAAAGCGCGTAGCAGCCTAAATAGATAGGGTTACGACCGACAAACTCGGAAAGAGGACCGAGGAAGAGTGGAACGATGGAGAAAGCTCCATTGAAGAGAAGCATGCCGACTTGACCAACTTCGGTGGAAACACCAAGCTCGTCGGTCATAGGAGCGATACCGGTAGAGAAGGCAGCAGTGGCAAGTCCGATGAAAAGACACATGGAGCAAAGGAGGGCGGTGGTGAGCCACTTGCGACCGATGGACCAGTTCATCGGATTTTCCGGGTCGTTCTCGCCATCCCAGACGACAAGAATGATGTTCTCATCTTTTGCGCCCTCGGGTAGAGCTACTTGCTTGCGAGGCTGCTCCCGACTCTTACGGCTCCAAAGGCTGTTCTTGCGGGATTGTGCTGGTCGTTGCGGTGAGACATGGTTGGAGGTAGTGCCAACGTCTTCGTGCTGAGCTGGCTGTGCTGAAGCGGAAGCGTCATCAGTAGTGTATCGTTCTCCACTGGAGAGGAAGTTGGTGTGAATCGATGTAGCCTTGAGAACCATGTTGGCTAGATTGCCCTTTGCCCGGGTTGAGGAAGCAAGAGGGACAGAGAAGAGACGAGGGAGGGAAGGGGGGGATTATATTTGCGTGAAGGGAAGGGGGGAAGGGGGGAAGGGGGGGAATGTGAGATGAAGGGAGAGGTTTGCTTTTGTATCGGATCTCCTCCGCAGAGGCTGAGGGAAGGGGAAGCCGGATGAGCCGATACATATGACACATTGTCGATGTAGCGGACGAGTAGAGAGCAGGCCAAGGGCAGATGGCAACTGTCAGGCTACGCTGCCTCTTCTCTCACTTTTTACTTTTCTTTTTTTTTTTTTTTTTTTTTTTTTTTTTTTTTTTTTTTTTTTCCGGTCATCACAAGGCACGCATACACACACACACACTTCTTAGGAGCGCAGGGAGCAACACACTCGGACACTACTCCTTTGCATCCCAATGCTGTCTCTCGGTGTGGGGCCACTTCTGTGGTGGTGGTTGTTGTTGTTGTTGTTGTTGTTGTTGTTGTTGTTATTGTTGTGATTCGTTGTTGCTGGAAGAATGTTGCCGTCCGTGTTTGCCCTTGGTTTTGCTTCATAAGTCTGCGCCGGTTTTTGGTTGGGGGCAATTAGAAGGAGTTAGTTACGGAGGATGGTCCGATAAGCCACGCTGTCTTGGTCTCCTCTCTCTTCCCGTCGCTGAGAATCGGGGGGGCCGTCTTGCAGTGTAGCGCAGAAAGGCTTTCATGCTAAGGGGGACCCACCGAGGGCTTGCTCGCCACAGCGAATCACAGAGTGCAAGTCTGCTTTGAATAGGTGTATGACACATTGCTTTTGGCGCAGGTCACAGGATATCACCAAGAGAATCTCACTGCACCTAACCACGAATCAAAAGTTTGTCAGGTTTAGTTCGAGGCGGAAGAAAGCATAGCGAATACTTGGCCTGCCCTCTCAGACAACCAAACCGAAAGGCATAGATTTTCCAGTCTCAAAAAGAGCATTTCGGCTAAGGTTTGGACGCGCGAACTGCGCAGTCGGCTCTTCCGTCCTTGATTCCTGGCTCAGTCAGGATCCCCATCCGCGCTAACCATTCAAGCCACTGGCGATCGAGAGTGGCTACCACCTTGTCCCTGTGGCGGAAGCATTGAGCTTTCAAGTGGTCTCCTTGTTTCGCCCATCGTTCCGAGCAACGCTAGATCCGCCGAGATGAGTTGCATCGTAAAGTCAACAAGACAATACCTAGATCGAAACTCTATGATACAGTAGAGTGCGAGCAAGCAAGCAAGCAAGCAAGCAAGCAAAACGTCAAGCGGAATTCGAAAACCAAGAAAGAAAGAAAAAAAAATTCGCCGCGTTCGGAGAATTTCGACTTCTGCCGATTCGATGCAATGATGCCTGCATACATTATGGAAGATCTTCCGGGTTTGCGAAGAGGCATCGCTTTACCGCCGCTTTTCCAAACCCTTGGATTGAAGAGTTTGGACGCATGTTGATGGCAGGAGCAGGCAGGAGCAAGGCTCATTGATTCTGTTGGCAGTGTTGCCAAGATGGATAGGCTTTTGCTTGCATCCTTGCTCTCCAACCACCGTTCGCTTCGAGGGACGACTGCACTCCAAGCTCGGACAAGGTGAGGATCTGTCCAGTTCTGCTCCCGGTCATTCCGACAAGGGAGAGCAAGGAGGCTGGAAAGACGTCTGGAAAGATAACACAAGCCAAGCACCTCTCGGCGGCATTCCCGACATTGCCCTTTACTCTAGCCTCCATTGTTCTTCACTGGACTGCATCACGTGATCGTCAGGAAGGTGTGCGCGTCTGGGCTCTCCTCGTCATTATTTGCCTCCCTTGCCCGCTCGTTTCTGCGCTTGACCTCGTCTTTGCCTGCAATCCACTTGGTTTCTTCGTGTTATTATATATACAATCTCGGTTATGTTTCGTGCGATTAAGTCCAGGCTGGGACCTGCAGAATGGAGAGGACAACGACCGAAGTTTCTCCTGTGCACCGGTCGAACTTAAGACGTTTTTGCACTCTCTGTTGGTAGTTGGGAAGAGCAGCAGGACATGATCCAATCGGCGAATCGCGAATCCTCCTTGCCAACTTGCCGATGTTTTGGCCAGACAGTCTTACCAGAGGTCGGCATTTCTCGCAGTCGGGTCAACGCTTCTTCCGGCCGAGAGGCGAAAAAGGAATCCAAATGTAAGATTTGCCCGGTAAAATGGAGGTGAGTCTCATCATCAGTGACGCTTCTGGTAGAGAGATAAGGAATGATGCAAAAGCAAGTCTTGTGCCTTTGAAGAGAAATGCCGCCACGGCAAAGTCAGCCAAGCTGTTTCCCCTCTGCTACACTGCAGCTTGGCCTTACCAACGTGCACAGACCTCAACTGTGCTGTTGCAATCTCCACCTCTTGCACTCTTCAATCTGAGCTTGCGGCGTCGACTGAAAAAGGTTGATCGTCAGTCTGTCTGTCACTATAGCCTGGGGAGCCAAATTGAAAAGGGGAGTTGCCGCAGCAGCCTTGACCTGCCTCTTTGGCTTGTCCTGTAGGCATCTTGCATCCTCACCCTCTAATCACAGCAGCAGCAACGCGATAAAAAGGTGGGGCGAGTGTGGGGAAAAAGGGCGCCCAATCAGCTGCACCTCTGCAGCAGGCAGGCAGTCAGACAGCTGCTCGCCACTTTCCTCTCTCCCTCTCTCCCTCTCTCCCTCTCTCCCTCTCTCCCTCTCTCTCTCTCCGCAAGCGTTCGAGCGGGCTGAGCATGTGAACTGTGATTGATTGATTGTGCTGTCTGCCTGTCTGCTGTGATTGATTTGGCCGTCTCTTGGTGCTCTTTGCCTTGCCATCCCACATCTGTCACACCATCGACACCATCGTCATTCATCAGCTTCATTCATCATCCTCTTCCTCTTCTCTTATCCACACTCTATCAGCAGACAATCGCACAATCAGTCTACAGCATCCTTAAAGTCGATACAACCCTCACAACGTTTTCCTTGAACGTCAGCGATCAGGATTATCTACCACTCTCATCCGCATCCTCCTGCCATCTGTCCCCCAAATCGGTTCATAAGATCCGCCATTCATCTCAGCCTACTATCACGCCCTATAGCTCATCCCGCTGGAAACATCAAACTTTTAGTTTCGAAGCATTTCACAAACTCTTGCTTTGCTCAGCATCTTGCAGGCATTCGAGCCCCAACTCTCTTCATCATCTGCTTCCCTTAAGTTCCTCTCACCACACCACCACCACCACCACCACCACCACCAATAACAACAACAACATCACCGATCGTCAAGATGAGTGCAGTACCGCTCGCCCGCAGCAAATCAGCGGGTGCTTCCTTCACCTCTGCCCAGTCCTCTTCCACCTCGACTCCTGCCTCTTCTCAACCATCCTCAGCTCCCAGTCATGCCAAACCCGAACTGCCCAACGAACTCCTTCGTCACATCTTCCTCTACTGTGACCCTGCTACCCTCTACATTGGCATCCGCGCTCTCAACCGATCCTGGAAGCATGCCGTTGAGCACGAGCTTATCGCCACTCACTTTGCCAACAAGGACTGGCGTGTTGGTCTGCGTGTCACACGCAAGCTGCCCAGCACTCTGTCCCAAGCAGAAGTCGCCCAAGCCCAACGAGAGCAGGCTGACGAAGAACTCTATCGATTCAACCTCCTCAACCGTCCTGGCGCTCGAGAGCCTTTCAACATCAACGCTCAGCCTCGAACGGTCACCCATGTAATCCCGCTCTCGTTCAAAGGGTACGATCCTGAGAATGTCTCTTTACGATTCGATACCGATTCCACTTGGCATTCCCTCTTCCAGGTATCTCAGCCTCAATCTGATGAGCAAGGAGAGGCTGCTCCTGCCGGAAACCACGCCAATGCTGCAGATGATGACTCTCATTCCGACTCCGAGAGCGACAGCGATCAAGAGACCCAAAGCAATGCTATTGCTGGCAACACTACTCTCGCTCCTCCTGCCACTGCTGCTGGTGCTGCAGCAGCCCGTGCACGTGCCAGAGCCGAGTCTGCTCGTCTTGAACTCGACTTTGGACTCGTCTGGCGATTCCCAGATGACGGTCAGGATGCCGATGTCTACCAAATCAAGAAGGGGGACGCCGAATCCTGGGGTCAACCTGACCCTGAGAATGGCTGGCTCAGTCGCTTCTACTGTTCCAACTTTGACACGGTCAGCTCAGCAGCTCCTTCCGGCACAGCTTCTCCCGTCGTGCTCCAGTCGACCCCTCTTACTCGCAGGGTCCGAAGCAGTCGACTCCACTCTTCTGTCGAAAGGAGGATGCACGATGTGATCGACGATGACCAAGGATTCTCCCCTGCTCAGATGATCTGGAGCGATCAAGGTCACGAGTACATGTCCCTACATCTTTCGCTCGGCATGGAGTTCTTCGTCCGTCGATCCGCTCGTGCCAACCAGCTCGTTCGAAGGCTAGAGGCCGCTGCAGCTGCAGCTGACGCCCGCGATGTTGTTGCTCAACTCACTCGTAAACTCAAGAAGGGCAAAAACAAGAAGTCGGGTCTGTCGAGTCTCAACCCTTCCGCTGCTGGCTCAGTGGCAGCTTCGGGTTGGGCTACACCTCTTCAAGTTGCAAGCCCGCCTCTCCAAGTTGCAAGCCCACCTCCTTCGCGTATCACAGCTTCAGCAGATCCACGACGACGTGCGATACAAAACTCGCTCGGTAAAGACATGCATCGAGTGGCCTCCTCTTCCAAACTCGCTTCTGACAGTGCCAGTGGTAGCGAAAGTTGGTCTCGTAAAGCCAAAGATGCGTTCAGAACAGACAAAGATGCAGCAGACCAAGAACAAGTCACACGAACACCAGAACAATCTGCTTCAGCACCCAACTTGCTCGCTCCCTCTATGGCTGTTTCGCGATACAACTCCGTCGCGCCCTCGCGTCAAGGCGGCGGTACTGTCGGTACAGGTTCATCCTATGGTACCAAATCGCGTAATGGTGGGACAGGTAATACTAGTAGAGCAGGCGCAAGTAGTGCACCAAGAGCCACTTTCCAAGCCAAACTGTTGCGTGCTGAACGAATGCCTTCCCGACCATCAACTCCTGCTCCTCCTCCTGCAGGGGAGAAGGAAAGTTCGGATTCAGCGACGGCGGATAGAACCCCAAGTGACAGAGCAGGTTGGACTGGTGGCGATAAGTTCGGTAGAGGTGCCTACAGAATCGCACAGGAATGGTCGGAAGAGTTGGAGTCGGATAAGTTTCAAGAAGCCTTGTCGAGTAGTGGCGTTACTACTCCTGTTACTTGGACTTGGTCTAGATAGGCTTTCCTCCGCTTTCATTGGAATGTGAATCTTGCTCGCTTTGCGCAACATGCTTTTGTGTTTGTTCATACAGTTTGCTCACTATGCCTGTTCTGTTGCTTCGTATCTCGATGGTCTGAGCGTTGATCTGTGCGGCCGTTGAGAGTGTCAGAGAGACACCGAAACGGCCACTCAAGACGGGTGACAGCGCCTGTCGCCATCACGCTCTAATTTAAAAGCAAGGAAGCACTAGAGCACAGCAATCGTATTTCTTTCAGCAGCTGCTGCTGAGATAAGGCTCGAAAACACACGCGCGATTGGCTTTTACCGTCCGAGACATTCATTTTCGAAGCAACGCACGAGCCAAGGAGTTTTCGACGACGAGTGGAGAGTGAACTCGGCCGGCACAGCTCTAACCGCAACCGCGGCCTGCCAAGGTCGACGTTTTACGCTTGCACACTTGCAATCGCTTACCTTGCTTCTAGACCCCCACCTCGACAACCATCACCATCACCGAATCCCTGTTTTTCATCCACTGCCTCCTCCGCCTGTTCCGCCGATCTCAGACCAGCAAAAGATCATTCCACAATGGCCGACCAACTCACCGAAGACCAAATCGCCGAATTCAAAGAAGCTTTCTCCCTCTTCGACAAGGATGGAGATGGAACGATCACTACCAAAGAACTCGGCACCGTTATGCGTTCTTTGGGTCAAAACCCAACCGAAGCAGAACTGAGTGACATGGTTAACGAGGTGGATGCTGATGGAAATGGAACCATCGATTTCCCAGAATTCTTGACTATGATGGCTAGAAAGATGAAAGATACCGATAGCGAGGAGGAGATCAAAGAGGCTTTCAAGGTGTTTGACAAGGATGGAAATGGCTTTATTTCCAGTGCTGAGTTGCGACATGTGTAAGTGCCTTTTCTCTGGCTCTGAGCGATAGTCAAGAGACAGTGAACCAAGTCTGTTTCCCCGAGCATCAAGAGAAAAGAGCTTGAACCGAGGCAAGAGAGAATGCTGACATTTGTTCTTCCTTTTGCTTTTCCTGGATGCCGCAGCATGACCAACTTGGGCGAGAAACTTTCAGACAACGAAGTCGACGAAATGATCCGTGAAGCCGACGTCGATGGCGATGGTCAGATTAACTATGATGAATTTGTCAAGGTACGTTGCATACTCCACCCTTGAATCCCTTTCCTGTAACCTTTTATAATTGATACTGAGCCTTCTGTCTCCCTCTCGATTGGTGGTAATAGATGATGCTGTCCAAGTAAAAAAAAGGAAACAGAAAAAGAAAACACCATTAGCACGCCGTTGTTGGAGGACCCTTTTTCACACACAGCACACACGTAATCCCGAGATGGGATCGCTTTCAGATGGTCTCAATTACGACGATCATGAGGTTCATGCTGTTGTCTGCAGGCTTTGTTGTGATGATCAGGAAACCGAAACGAAACACGATTCTTGAAATACCAGCTTATCTCGCCCCGAACTTTGCAGCAATCGCTCGCTTTGAATGTGTGGATGCCAGAGAAGTGAGAGCGTTTCGACATCGCTTCCGAGGATCGCTGAGTGACAAGGTTTGCTCTGCTGGAGCGTTCTGCTATGCTTTCAGCTTCTCTGGAAGCTTTGAAAGACAACTATACACGCAAGATGGCAGGTAAAGATGCTACAGAGAGGTGTATTGCAAAAGTACAGATACAAGTTCACTTTCCCTTGCCTTAACTGTTCCCCTGCCCCTGCTCTGCCTCTGCTCTGCCTCTGCTCTGCCTCTGATCCTCGTCTCGGACTCTATTCCTCATGCTCAACCTTGGTCGCCAAGCGCAAGGTCATCTCATAAATACTAAACATAACCACAGCATTTGGCACAACCCTTAACAAATGTGCGCTCAATCCACCATACAATGCCGCCAATCCTTCCTCCCTATAAACCAACTTCACGGTTTGCAACAAGCCTGTATATTTAGGCTTTTGACCAGGTGCAACTTGTTGTCTTAATCTAGTCCTTACTACTTCGTGCGGATAGGTGATTAGGCTGGCTACCAACTTGGCTGTTCCTGCTGCACCGACCAAACTTGATAACTTGGATTTTGGAGTTTCCACCACGGCAGAGGAGGAGGAATGGGGGGATGAGGGGGAATGGATACGTTTAAGCCTTTCGTAAAGAACCCATTGGATCGTGCCCTCTGCCACACCGAGGTAGGAAGCTGACATGCCTTTGTATAGACCTTTGAGACCTTCTGTGCGGATTATGTGAAGGGACATTTGGAAAGAGCTGAGCGAAGAAGCAGAAGAAGTTTTTGATGCGTGGAAGAACGCTGGTTCGCCAAACGCTCCGAGAGTCTTGTGTGATCGAATTGCTGCAGTTGTGTGGTGTTGTGCTACTCCTGCTCGTCTTTCCCCTACTGCTGCTTGTGTTGATCGAGCAGGAGTAGGGTTGCATTCTTTCTGTCGAGATCCAAGTTGTAGTCGAGTCTTGACTACCCAAATGGGGTTGGTAGCCGTCGCAGTCACAACTCCAGCCAGCGCAGCCGCACCAAGATGAACCAAACTTGTCTCTTGCCCTCCATTGAACCTTTCTGCTATCAAGGTCTTGCCATTTCCATAAGTGTAGAAATTGATACTTCTCGCTGGAATTACTCCCACCAACGTCGGCCCCAGTCCCCTGAACAAGGCTCGAGGCCCTTCTGTTGTACTAATCTCTTTCAGCAAATACCCCGTTTCGACAAAGTGATAGGCTAACCTTGTCACTCTCGCAAACACTCCTTGCCCGCTCTGTAGAGGCATAGAGGTGGAAGCCTTGGTCCTGTACAAATCGGATTGTAACCTCGTCTTGACCACATCGAGGGGCGAAGTGATGATAGCTCCACACATCCCTCCTGCTCCACCTGCTACAAAGTGCAACCATCCTTTCGGTGGAACCAATTTCTGTTTCGGAGCTGTAGGATGGGAAGAGGAGGAGAAAGCTTGTTGAGATTCGATTGTTCGTAGATCTACTTGTGCTCCAGTGTCACCTGAGTTTGCGAGTTGTTGGAGTTGAGGGATTGTGAGCGGGGTGGAGGATTGGATTCGTGCGGAAGGTAGGATGGGGGAGAAGGTTTCTGTTTCCCCTTCTCCTGGGGTTGACGTTGCTGGATGCTGCATGGTTGATACCAGCTTGAGTGGGAGCCGGATGTGTGAGGTGTAGTTGCTATCAGTTGGTGAGAATTGCGGTTTGATCCAGTTCGATGGCACCCGAGTTCCATGCAGCCCAAGGAGTGGGAGTCGGTTTGATGGCAGGTCAGAAGCTCGAGCTGGAAGCTGAAGAGTGCCTCAAAGATGTCTGGTTAAGATGATGACAAGATTGGAACGTGGCACAAGAAAATAGAGTGAGCAAAGGCCAAATTTTTGATACCGAATCGCAACTTTTTTTTTCTTTTTTTTTTTTTTTCAGGATCGCCCAGCAAAACGTGGAGGTTCTCAGTTCAGCGCAGTCAGGAGTAGTCATCATGACTAACACGTTTGATTTCTGCACTCTAACATCCTCTTTCTTCTTTTTTTCTTCGAAAATAAAATCTCGAGCGGATGGATTGGTTTGGCAAAGGCGCGATCGAAAAGGTGTCACAGAGTCGCTTAACCGAACACAGAAGAGACTCGGCTACTGCTGCGTTTGTTGATGGCTGAACTCTGATTTCTCTCCCGTCAACACCTTTGGATGGCAGCCACACCTTGTTTGTCGTCTTTCCACATCTTTATACCCTTATTCGCAATCATCACTTTGGCGAGCTTTCTAGAGTGTTGCTGCAAGACGCAGTGGATCAGAGACAGCATCGACATCCAACCAAGCAAACAGAGTAGACGGATCGCACAGACACACCTCCACACACCTCCACACACCTCCACTCACTCTCCTCTGGATACCCATAACAAAGCCTACGGACGACCCAACACCGGCTCATCTACGCATGCAAGAGCGCAGCATTCAGATTAGATAGCACCCTTCCTATCATCTGTTCAATCGGACCTCAGGCACTCGCTTAGATGCATCGGCTTGAAGTAGCCGGTACATATCCAGCTACCTAGGAGCGCAGCGATAACGTTGCAGTAGACCTCGGCTCTGTCTTCGCATCACTCGCGCACCGCAACATTCTATCCCGACGTCTTGCTCTATCTAATTCAAACAATCAACTCACACGATCTATCAGCCTCTCATCCAGCAGTTCCGCTCGAAACATCTTGCCCCATCTCTAAAGCAACCTGTTTTCTAGAGCTTTCGGAACAACAAGGCGCCAGCGGCTTCCGTCGCTTGTAGCCCTCGCCTTCTCCTACTACCACCATGTACAACACCGAATTCGGTCGGAGGCTACGAAGTCAATCTTCGGGCGCATCCACACCCTCCTCTTCTTCCAAACGAGACAGCTCCAGTAGAACAACAGATGCTTTACTCGGTTCTACCACCGATCGTCTACTTGCAGGAGCATCCGCAACCTCTCCCATCTCCATACCCGGACCTTCATCTCGAGATGCACCGCATGCACGTAAATCCACCACCACCACCACCACCACCACCACCACCACCAGTAGTGCACATCGATCTTCCAGCCTAACCAACCTTGCAGGAGTAGCTTCTCGTGGGGGAGAATCTTCACGGTCAGCCCTGTCAGTTTCTTCCAGCATCAAATCTTGCTCCCCCAGCAAAAAGGTGCTTGCGAATAGCTACGTTGATCGATACATCCCACAGAGAGATGGAAGGGATCTGCATATAGCGTATCAGTTGATAGCTGATGATCCGTCTACATTGCATCGGCATAAGCGGAAAGTGGCGGTGGATACAGATGCGCACAAGGAAGAGGCGAATCAGGCTTTCTCTTCGCTGTTGAGCTCAGAGCTGTTTGGTGCCGATGCTGCGTTGCCTGGCTCACCGAGTAGAACGCAGAGGGCCAACTTTGCCTCTAGTTCCAGCTCGAGTGTGCATACGAGTGGTGGATCTAGTGCCACTAGGCATTCAAGTCATACGGGCGGCTTGGCATCTCCTGCAACGCCGACAAAGAGGAATCTTTTCAGTTATAGTCCTTCGCATACTCGCACACCTGGTCGCAGCGGGTCGGGCATAGGCAGAGTGGTTGATTTTGGCATTGCGGGCGATGACGATTTAGGTGGAAGCGCTCCGAGAACGGGAGGCCTTTTCGGAGGGCTAGCATCTCAGTCGGTTGAAACGCTCGATTCACCTAATCATCGAGCATACAGCTTGTCGCCGGTAAAGGCGGAGAGTAGGAGTTTGCTGCTCAGCCCACGGAAACCGGCGAGAGTGTTGAGCAAGGTACCGTATAAAGTTTTGGATGCGCCCGATCTTGCCAACGATTTCTACCTAAACCTCGTCGATTGGTCAAATAAGAACGTCCTCGGTGTCGGACTGGGCACCTGTGTATACCTCTGGTCTGCAGACAATTCGTCGGTTACCAAGTTGTGCGATTTGAAAGAGTATAGTAACGATGTTGTGACTGGGTTGAATTGGGCTAATAGTGGGAGCCATTTAGCGATTGGGACTCAGAAAGGTTTGGTTCAAATATGGGATGTCGAAAAGCAGAAACTTTTGAGGACAATGAGGGGCCATACTCAGCGAGTAGGATCGTTGGCTTGGAATGAGGTTATTCTGACTTCGGGTTCAAGAGATAGAACTATCTACCACAGGGATGTGAGAGCGCCGGATCAACACATTCGCACACTTCGAGCACATCGTCAAGAAGTTTGTGGTCTCAAATGGAACACGGATACGAACCAACTTGCTTCGGGTGGAAACGACAATCGCCTCCTAATCTGGGATTCTCTCCTCGAAACACCGCTGCATCGGTTTACCCAACATACGGCTGCGGTCAAGGCTATTGCTTGGAGTCCGCATCAGCAAGGCATCCTCGCGTCAGGGGGTGGTACTGTGGATATGAAAATCAGATTCTGGAACACGGTTACCGGAACGATGCTGAACGAGGTGGATACAGGGAGTCAGGTCTGTAACCTTGGGTGGAGTAAAACGAGCAACGAGTTGATAAGTACACATGGATATAGTGGAGGGACGGTACAGAATCAAATCACGGTATGGAAGTATCCAACGATGCAACAAGTGGCGACACTTACAGGGCATACAATGAGGGTGCTGTATCTAAGTATGAGTCCAGGAGGGGAAACGATTGTTACGGGCGCTGGGGATGAAACGCTTAGGTTTTGGGATCTAGGCTTGAGTAGTAGGGCCAGTGGCGGTGGAGGCGCGGGAAGAGGGGGAGGGGGGAGAGGTGGCGTAGAAGGCGGGGCTTTTAATCCTTTTGCCAAACTTCGTTGAAGACCAGATATCATGTACAGTACTGTAAACCAATACTCGATGGCGTTATTCACAATACTGCAGGATGTGTTGCTCTATGCCGAGCGATGTCTGATTCCACGCCTTTTCGTATGGTGGTGCGGAGCGATGTAAATCGGATCGGGAGAGAGCAATTTCCACGATCTGCCGATCCAGCTGTCAACCGCAACGGCAACTGCAACGGCAACTGCAACGGCAACCGGATTATTTGCATTTATTTTACTTTATTGGTTCTTTTTTCCGTGGCTGCAGCACCGCGGCATAATGACATGCTTCCAGCCGTATCGATTGCCGTAGATTGTCGAGGTTTGCACTCGTCAGCGTTGCTACAGCCAACCCTCGGTTCGGTTCAGCATCGGCATCTCATCTCTCGGCTCGAGGTGTCATTCTCACGGGAGCAGCAAGATCGGCTAGCATAGCCAAGCAACTTGAATAGCTGGCTTTTTTTCTCCGTTTCTCCGTGGCTGGCATACTTGTTCCACTTGTGCCGTCGGGGAGGATGGATGGTGATCATTCTTCTGCTCTGCCTCTTTTGGCACAAAGGCTTTTCTAGAGAGAGTTGTCCAGGTGCGGCCCTTGTTCAGCTCGGCAGCGTATGACTGCTTGCAAGCGAATGGAGAACGACCCGGTCAGGAGAGCGTCTAGCTCCACTTTTTTTTTTGTCTTTGGGTGTCAATTGAAAGAACAAGATTATGCCCGAGGCATGATGAGTGATGTTTGGGATGATTGTATGCCACTTGGATGATGCTGGAGATGATTTTATGCCGCTTGGATGATGCTGGAGATGATTGTATGCCGCTTGGATGATGTTGGGTCGTGGTTCTTCCTGACCATCACTTCCATTAACTCGTTCGAATCCGTTCGGTATACCCTTGTTGGCGTTGCGGTTGGTGCGCATACAGCCTCCATTCTTACCACCCCTAGGGCCTTCTTACTCTCCTTTTCAGTCACAGACGCTCACGGCGCCTCATTCGAAGAAACCAAATTGCCGGAAGGACAGATCTTACAGAACCCCCCCCCCAACTAGGCTCACAAGACACAAGTTCGAGCTCAAGTAGGCAACTTTTCGCAAACAAGATAGTATCGCAGGACGCATCCACAATGTCGACCACAGCGAAGGAGGAGACCACCAATCCCACCGCCTCAACGAGTGGGGTCGATGCTCCTTCCAGCACTGAAACCCGCTTGGCGCCGGAGGCTGGCGCAGGAGGAGGAAAGAAAAAGCACCCTCAAGCCGGTCGATTCATAGAAAACATCTCCACACATGGATCTCGTGCTTCTGTTGAAGACCAACCCCAGCCCCCTAAGGAGGGAGAGATTCCAGAAACAGAAATGCGTGCGGTCCAAGCCAAGCCTTTCCGAAGAGTATGGAAGAAGAAACCAACGTCTGCACCCGTACAGAGGTCTACTTGCACTGCTACGAATAGGGGTGGAGCGGGAGGCGGGCAGAACTACAACACGCCTAGTACGGAGGATAGTACTACAAGTCAAAACCCTTCTTCTTCTGATCATAAGAAGGACAGCGCAAAGCACCACATCTCCTCTTCTTGCAGCGACGAAGAAGTGGAAAGAGGCGATCAATACCACAAGACATTATCAGCACTCTATCCCCTAACCCATTTCCTCGGGTTTCGACCTCTTTCACACCCCCATACACCCCCATCCCGTCGCTTGACCCCTTCGGACGCAGCCTTTAACCGATTCCACTACATCTGTGGCCGAATCCTCTCCTTGGGCCTCCCCGTAACTGGCTCATCTGGATCTCTGGCCCAATTGCGTAACCCCTCAACCAACCGACTGGAATTGATGCAGATGTATTCCGCCCAAACCCGTTCCCACATCACCGACACAATCCACACCACCATCTCTGCCTTCGTAATCATCTCGTTGCTCTCGCTCCTCTCTCGCTCGCCATTCCACCGTTCTCACCACTCACCGCTCATCATCGGAGCCTTCGCCACGGAAGCAGTAGTCTCGTTCTACGCTTACCGAACCCCTCTTGCTCAACCGAAGAACATCTTACTCGGAAACACGCTCTCTTACATCATCGGCATGGCGATCCAGCTAGCTTTCACAACCACCAATTATTCCGTGTCTGGGGTCTATGGGTTCGACTGGGCCGCAGCAGCATCGAGCGTTGGTGCAGCGGTGCTGGTTATGGAGTTGTTGGGGGTCGTTCACCCTCCAGGAGCAGCATTTGCACTTTTAAGCGTGACAAGTGAACCGACTGAGAGATTGGGATGGTGGTTAGTGCCGATTACCGTCATTGGGAGTTTGGTTGTGGTCGCCTGGGCAATGGTGGTTAATAATCTTGGCGGGAGGAGGTGGCCTGAGAATTGGCTGTATAAGGGAGCGGTGAGCGATTTGCCGGTGATTGGGCCGGAAAGTCTTCCGTTTGCTAACTCGCCGATTGAATGGCCCCAACGGCGAGAGAATGGCGGGCAGCCGGGGAATAAAAGAAAGAGAGTAGGAGAGGAGAAGGGGAAGAAGGGGATGGAGGAGAAGGAGATGGGGGAAAAGGAGAAAGGATTCTATCGAGTCCCAAATTCAGGTACAAAACTTACCACTCCTTACACCCCTCAACCCCAGCATCCAGCACCGGCAGTAGTGGTGAATAGCAGAATGATCCAAGATCCAACCCTCACCACCACCCAGGTCATTAGGAATAACAGCAAGGGAAGCAAACACAGTCGAAGATCGGTTGTCGTACATGTGAATCATAACGTCCGGAGTATGTCCACGCCTGCGGTTAGTATGGGCGTGGGAGAGGGAAAGGGAAAGGGGAAGGAACATGTTCCCGCTGCTGTTCCCACTGTTCCCGCTGTTCAATGGCGTACACTTGAGCCTGGCTCTGCTTTGTAACGTAGTTAGACCGAGGTGCGCACGAATGGTTTGAGCCCCCAGTCTGATTAGGCTTGAATGGCAATGCAGCTTTGCGAAGCTTAAGATAGCATGCACCGTGTCATTCTCTGCTGTGCGTAAACCGATTGATTCTTGAAAGCTAGCGATCGGATCTTGAGAAGGGTAGAATACATGCAAATGACGACAAAGAAGGAAACAAGGAAGCTAGGGGGCAAAAGATGAGACTAGCGACGCCCACGACGCATCAAACCAGCGAGAGCAATACTTGCTACTGCTGCTGCTCCTCCGATCAACGCCATTCCCAAGTATCCCTCTATCATTCCCACCCATCGCCAAAAGCAGCGTTTGAGGGTGAGTGAGCATAAGTACTGCAACATAGCATCAAAGAGCCTAAGGGAAAGAGAGTGAAGGGGCAACTTACCGCGAGCAACCCCCTTCTCAATAAGCTGATTAAGACTTTGTGCTTGAAGATTGTTCGGTTCTCTCTCGATCAGAACCGCTATACGACCCACACCACATTAAGACCAACAAGTCAGCTCACATATGCCATATCCTTTTCAGAAGAGTGCCGGGGTGGGGGGAAGGAGACTTACCATTAAACCGTCTCGCCTCGTCATAGTTGCCCATCTTATAATGCCCCAAGGAAAGATAATAGAGACATTCTCTCCTTCTTGGTGGATCGGAACGGTAAATTTCTACTCCCCACCACACCCCAGCAGAAGAGGATGGAGCAACTAGGTCAGTAGAGAGATGAAAGCCTCAAAACAAGGGGAGAAGCAAAGCGGGCGACGTACCAGTTAGGAGACCAACACCAACGCTCATCTCGGCTCTATTTTGACTCTTGACTAGACCCCAAGCATAGTTGAACTTGGTTTGCGTTGTTACATGGCCTGCAGCGAGTTCTGTTTGGTATTGTTGTTTAAGAACTTGAAGTTCAGAGGCGGAGAGAGAGGTTTCTGCGTCTGCTGCGTATGGGAGTGACATCGTGGGCGAATGTCTCAACGCCTCGACTGTGCGATGAGGTGTACGTGCTCTTTGGCTGGAAGTTGGGTAGGTTGTGTTCCTAGCTGTTTGATGAAACGTCGTTTCTCGCGCTAGTCGAGGCAGAGACAGTGTTGCGAAGGGTGATAGGATGATAGGATGTGTGGATGTGTGGAAGGTGGCAAGTGGCAAGTGGGCAAAATGCAGTTGTTTCACGCCGAGTCGAGAAATCGATTCTCTGTTAGGGTGAGAGAGGAAACATTTTCAAAAGAAGAGTGCGGGTCCGTGCGCGATACCCACGCGGCACACAGCCTGCCTGCTCTTGCGTGTGTTTGAGTGGAGAAATCGAGGGAATTTGCCTCACTTTAGAAAGAGCGGATGGCCGAACCATCATCTCTCTTGCACCCTTCCCACCCAACACCATCGTCACCGCAACCCTCTATCCGGATCCACCTTGGCACTTGCCAAAAATGAACGCCGACGAACAAGACACATTTACCTCGGTCACCTGGGAGAACCGTGATTCTGCCACATCCAACTCTCAACCCGTGTTCTCCACCACTCCTTCCTTCACCTCCTCTTCCAACCCCAATGCGATCGCTGGCCCCTCTTCATCCTCCTCCTCCTCCGCCGCCTCCTCCAATCCGCTCGCACGCAATGTCAACTCTTCCTCCGATGATCCCACCTCTCTAGCCTGGGCGGGATATTTGATGGTCCAAGTCACAGAACCACGTAAAGAACTCGAAGGTCAAAAAGACTCGTTCATCTCCTACGGCATTCGAGCAGAAACCAACCTCGCGCACTTCTCTCGTACTCACATGTCCACCCGTCGACGGTTCAACGATTTTACTTTCCTCCGTGAAGGTCTAAAACGTGATTTCCCCGCTTGCGTTGTCGCTCCACTCCCCGACAAACATCGGCTGGAGTACCTAACAGGTGACCGTTTCAGCGCTGAATTCATCGGCAAGAGACAACAAGATCTCCAGCTCTTCCTCGAGAGGATCTGTAGACATCCCACACTGCAAAGGAGTCAGTTGTTGTGCAAGTTTTTGGAAAGTTCAGAATGGCAAGTTGACATGCATGCCCACACAGCACAGCACAGTTCAAGCAGTACAGCAACAGGCGCATCGGCTTTGATTTCGGGTAGTCAGGTGGAAAATGCAGGTCCTCCTAGTCTGTTGGATAGTCTAAGCGATCATTTCTTAAACGCATTTTCCAAGGTGCGGAAACCCGATGAAAGGTTTGAAGAGATAAGAGAGAGTATCGATAAATTGGAAGAAAGTTTGGCTGGCACGGAGAGGGTGTTGAGTCGGAATAGGAATCGCATTGCAGGTAAGCACCCAAACCGCTTTTTACCCCCTTATTATCCCTTCTACCGCCGACAATGGAACGAATCCTTATCTGACTCTGCAATGGCGGATGGCTGACTTGTCCTTAGCTCTGCCATTTGGCGATATCTACACACCACAATTGGGGACCGCGATCGAAGATCTTTCAACCGATTACGAGGATTTCGCAACTAGTATCGAAGGTCTGGGATATTTGGAAAGTGGAATCACGGAACCTTTGAATAAGTTCGCTAATGCTATGTTGGAGTTTGCCAGGTTGGAGAGAGTTACCGTAAGTTCTCACAACCCCCCTCTCGCCTCCCTCACCCCTACCAATCTATCCGCGCCATACTGATTTGATCTTTGTTTTGGAGCCATACAGTCGGCGAAATCAACAGACGCAACGCTAGCGCAAATGCAAGCTCTGCTTGCATACTCTCGCTCACATAAATCCGTGCTTAAACTTCGAGACGCTAAACAGGTCGATTTTGAGGAACTCACAGACTATCTCTCTGGTGTTGTTTCCGAGCGGGACCGTCTCGCTTCTCTTTCCTCGCCCTATGGTGCTGGCCATGGCCATGGCGGGGTCCGCGGTGCCGGTATATCCGGATATTTGAAGGATAAAGTCGACCATCTCCGAGGTGTCGACGAAGAAAGAACGAGGGTAGGTCGGATGCAGAGGTTGGATCGCAAGATAAACGAGCTTCAGGATGCTGTTACCAGTGCACACGATACGAGTCAGGCATTCAGTAGCGAAGTCATGCGGGAACATAGCTTTTTTCATCTAGCAAAACAACAGGAGCTCAAAGATATACTCGCTACTCATGCAGATGGACAGATAGAGCTCTATGCAGCATTGGTCAGCCTGTTTGATCGTTTGCTTCCTCAGTTGGAGCGCATTAGAGTTGCATGATAGCCCAGTTGCAGCAATCGCACCTTTTTGCCTTGGATACTTGCGTCAGACTGCCGTCAGTCTTGTGTGGGCCAGTGTGTAGTTGCATGAACGGTGTAACTCGGGTAGAGCATTGCTCGGATGTGCTTTGAACGTTTGATCATGCTCAGGTGCCCAAGTTGAGTTCACAATGAGACCTTGCAAGTCCCAATCGCAGACCAAGAGAGAATGGGAAACAAGCAAGCTTTCTTTCTTCTTTTGCAAACATACGCGCAACGATGGGAAATATACAAAGAAAACCTAACCGCTTTCACCATGGCACCAAGACCAGCGATCAGACAAAGTCAAGACTAAGTGTGAGGGTTCTAGAACATCCCAGTGGGCTGCATATACATGCCTCCATTGAGATTGTTCGGATATCCACCCATCCCTCCACCACCCATACCCGTCACACCGGCAGTGATCAACTTGGGCGCGCCCAAACCACCGGGACCGATGATGGGAGCATCTTGCTCCTCCTTCTCCTTCTCGCTATCCTTCTTTGCCCTCTCCTTGACCTGCTTCTCGAGTTTGTTCAGCTTTTCGTTTTGGTGCCTCATACTCTGCAGCTGATAGGGCATGGTAAAGTCAGCGAGTGCGTGTCTCCAGCTGAGTTCCATCACCACATCTGGCCTGATCAGATCGTAGCAAGCGAAGAGGGTTGCTGCGTAGCATTCTTTGTTGCCAATCTCGACGAAATACTCCAGAAGCTCTTCTGCAACAGCTTCATCGTTCGACACCGCCGCCGTCTCGATGGCATCCCTAAACAACTTATCCGTTTTGCTGAGTGCAATCGACTCGTTCCACCTTCCGTTCTTCTTGTACAGATGAGCTGCCAGCCTCCTGAACTCCAACAAATCGTGTTTCTCCAAACGAGAAGCAAGCGAAAGAGCATCAAAGTTATCATATCCATCGATGCTACTTCGCAACGTCTCGAAATCTTCCTCCTCGATCAACAGATCATTGTAGGCATCATTGACAGCTTCCAAATTATGCGCCTGGACCGACATAAGATAGCTTCGAATGAGCGGAACATTATCGTTCTCCTTCTTCTTAAACATCCTCACCACCCTTCCATGATCGATCCTCTTGGCCAAAACCGTCAAGAGATCGTTGAGCAACAAGGGATGCTGTTCCAAGTAGAACGTAAGAGCTCTATAATAAATCTCGACGTTGGCAACCTTAGGCAAGATCGCTTTGAACTGATCATGATCCCAGGCATCCGCAGCATGTTCCATCGTTGCCAACGCAGCATTATCCATCTCGTCGTATTTGGTGTAAAGATAAACCAGTTCCGACCAAAGATGACACTGCTCAGCAACTTTAATCAGCTGCGGAAGGTTCGAACGAGACCAGTACAGCTTGAGGTGTTCCATCATTCTTTCCGGTCTATGCTTTGCAAGGGCAACGCCAGTTTGAGTAAAGACCCCCATATGAGCCCTTTCCAATGCCAATGCTTGCTCCAACAGCACCAACAGCTCATCAAAAAATCCTTCTGCTTCATAAGCTCTAATCAACCCAGGCAATTCTTCCGCATGAGGAATGATCGCCAATCCTGCAATCTGACTAAGCTTAAACTCCCTCTTACTCAAACAAGCCGCATGAACCTGTTTCCAAACACTCGTATTTCCTGCCTTCCTAGCTGCATCCACCGCTCCTTGATAATCTCCCAAGTAGACCAGTGTGGTAGCCAACCTGGCATAGTTCGACACGCTGGTGAACAAGAGTTTGGCAGCTTCGTAGAGTTCATCGTTGAAACACTTTTCACCGACACTCAAGATGTCAGCTACATTGGTCATTGAAAGGAACTCTTCCATATCAGCCAACCTGTTTGCCTTGGCAAGACAATAAGCGTATTCGGTATCGATCTTGGGTTCGCGAGCTTTCTTACGAGCCATTTGAAGGAATCTGATCAACTCCTCTTCTCGTCCGGCATGTTCGGCAATTTCGATCACCTCTTCATAATTCGACGGGTCCTCCGCCTTGACGTAGGAGTCAATAGCATCTTTGACCCGCAAACCATCAAGCTGAGCTTTACCGAGACGAGACCAGATCGCAGGTTTGTTGAGCTTGTTAGCATACTGCTGACCCCGATCGATGGAAACGATATGCTCGACAAGAACGTTCATCGCATCTTGATGCTGTTCTGCCTTGGAGTAGATTCGGAATGCTTCCTCGTAAAGTCCGTGGTCGATAGCGATTTTGGCGATTTCCTCAACATCGTATCCATCGAGACGATCGATGTAATTCATCACCTTACCCTTATCCGTACGAACCGCGGTAAGAAGCAGAAGATTCTGCAAGCTCCTATTGTCACTGAACGCCGACGGCTCGAGAATGATCTTCTCCAACAATTCGATCAGCTCATGAGGCAAATCAGCCGCCATGAACGCCTTCACCGTTGCCGAAACATCATCCGGATTCGTCGACTCGGGAACAGCAGTCGAAGACACCTGCTCCACAAGCTGACGTCGATGAACATTGTCCGAAGTCAACACTTGAGCCCAGAGATCCAACTGTCGACGCTTGACAAGGTATCGAGCCTGATGTTTGAACATCGAGTTGTCGTTGGTGATCGAGATCAACTCGTCATCGCAGAAACCCTTAGCATAGGCGATGTAGGCGAGGTAGGGATCACGCTTCTCGCAGTATTTACCGACAACCTTGGGATCGTATAGATTGTTCTCCTTGAGGAAGGATTCAGGGTTGTTGTTACTATCGATAGCAATCTTGGCCATGGCGTTGTAGAGAGGCTGATCTTGGGAACCAGCTTCGATCTTGGACTGGAGCCAAGGCATGATCAGCTTGAGACGGTTACGTTTCTCCACCTCCTCAACTAGCTCGTCAACCGGGATAGGTCCCGTGACGGAAGAAAGGAGGTTCTTGATGACACCCTCGTCGCAATCGACATCGAGCAAACCACCAATGACCTGAGGGGTACGCGAGGAGTTAACACGCTGAACATACACCTCGATGAAGTTGATTAGCATGTTCTGGTAGAGGTAAAGCACGAGGTCGTGCACGAAATCGAATCGATCGCAGACAATGATGAGCGGGAGCTGATCAGAAAGCTTAGCCTCCTTGAGGAAGTTCTTGACCTTTTCCGGGTTGTAGTAGTTCGACTCTCTGCAGATACGCTCTACTTCCCGAATCTGACCAGTACGAGTAGCAGCCTGAATGTACTTGAAGTGCACCTCAGGATCGGTTGAAAGGTTGACAACCGAACCAAGATAGTAGTACAAGCCTTCGAACGACTTGAACGACTCAAACATCTCGATGAGCTTGACAGGACCAAGCAAGTCGGAGTACTTGGTAGCGATCTGAACAACCACCTGCAAGTTTTGTCGGATGTTGACCTTGAGCATCTCACAAAGACACTCGAGCGACTGCTCCACGGTGAGTTTTCCAAAGTAGTTGACCAGCCAGTCGGCCTGAAGAAGGTTGGTGTGAACAAGAACCCTCTTGATGTCGGCATTGTCTTCGTAGTGCTCGAGAGCACGTTGGAGCAAGCCGGCCTTCTCGCAGAGGTTGGCGATCCGAGGACGATCGTAGTGAGTGAACATCTCGTTACCGAGAATGGCGTCGGCGACCTGAGGAGCGTTGACCAAGTTCATCTCGAGCAGTCGAGTCTGGAGATGAGCCTGCTCGGGTTTGTTGTCCTTGAGGGCATCAAGAAGGAAGCTAGTAGCCTGCTGGATCATGTTCTGACTCATGAAGATGTCAGTGACACGTTCAATGTCGACCAAGGGACCGGACTGGTCAGCGACCAAGCTGCTGGCAAATTCGGCACCCTTTTCGGGGTTGGTGCGAACGATGTGCTGGAGGAGAGCAGCATAGTCAGGCGTGTAGGCGACCTTCTTGGCGTAGAGGACGATCTTGTCAAACTGACCGGTCTCGGCAAAACAGGCAACGACCTTGTTGGGCACATTAGCACGGAGGTAGACGCTGAGGGCCAAGTTCATGTCGTGTTGACGGACAATGTCACCGAGCTCCTCGCTGCATTCGATCTTGCTCTCCTTGAGCCACTTTTCAAGCAAGTGCTTGCGACCCTGGTTGAGCACAGGACGAGCAAGCTCCAAGGATTCGAACTTGTTGAGCGTACCCTTCTCGAGCAAGATACCAAAGTACTGAAGAATAGGCGAGAGGGTACCAGGCTGGTTGGGAACCTGCTTAAACTGCTCGATGGTCTGCGAAGTTCGCAAAATACCTCTTGGCGAGTTGGCGGCGATCTTAGCAGCTTCACCGTACTGTGCCGTAGAGAAGAGCGAGTGGAACTGCTGCAAGTAGAGATCATCGGCACCTGGCAGATCACCACGAGAAGCAAGTTTGAAGGCCAAGTCCGAGTTGTTAAGCGTACGAAGGATGTATGGAATGACGGTGTTCTCATCGACGGAAACGGAGAGGACCTGACCTTTACGGTTGATACCAATGATACCGCTAGTGGACTCGTGCTCTGCTGTGACAAAGATGGTATCGCCCGAGATACGGTTCATGTAGATGCAAGCGCCGCTCTCGAGGTCGTAGAGATGGATGAAGCCGTACTTGGTGACGAGGTAGACGATAGCGTAACGCTTGCTGACCTGCATGGCGACGGGGAAGTCGTTGGTAGCTTCTGGCGGGAAGAAGACATCGACGGCCTTCTTTGTGAAAGCAGGCTGGCCGTTCTGGTGGTCGATCTCGACGACGTGGAGCTTGGCACCGGTAGCAGTACGGTTGGCAAAAGTGAAGAGCTTGAACGGGTTGGGAGCGGTATCGGACTTGAGCTCTGCGAAGGCGGCGGCATGACCCTCGATAGGCTGAGAGACACCACGTTCACGCGAGTAGAGCTGCATGGAACCCTTGACACGGAAAGCATTGGGTGCGCCAGATGGGTTACCCGAGATACCAACAAGAACAAGCCACTTTTCGTCGTGACTTGCGCGGTAGTTGATGATCTGAGTACCTTGCAAGCTGAGGTGACGATCAAAGACTTTAGCAGGGGCGGCTTCGCCTTCGATGGACCAGTGGTATACTGCATTCTCGGTGACGATAGCGAGGGTGGTGTTGTTGATCCACTTCCAAAAGACGACATCGTCGTTGATGAGATGGGACTTGACTTTTGCTTTTGCCTCGATGTTGAAGATCTGAAGTTGCCGCGCTGACTTGAGAGCAATGATTTTCTGGATAGGGTTCATGATGGCCGAGTCGGCGGTGATTGGTCTCCTCATGCTGTCGGAAGCAAGGGGAAGGGAAATGAAGGCAGGGAAAAGCAGAGAGAATGGTGTGAGTGTGAAATGTACATGCTGGAGGAAAGGGTGCAGGCTTGACGAAGGACTCTAAAGGCGGGCGGGTTTTGCAACTTACACATCGCTGATGTCGTTCAAGTTGACAATAACGACCGAGTCGGTACCGTTGATGCTTTCACGAACGCAGACAAAGTTCTCGGACTCGAGGGTGACGTTGGCGAACGAGATGCTTTCGGGAGAGATGCCAACGTTGGTGAGCTGGACATGCTCTGAGAAGTTGATGGGCTTGTCCGCCATGGTGAAGAGCTGTGTGATGTAGCGCGCGACGAACCAAGCTTATTGCTGCGGAATGAAAGGATGATAGGTGTGGGCGATGGATGCACAATGCGGTTAGCAGAACCGATGAGACCGTCGATTGCCTAGGTGTCGATTGCCTAGGTGTCGATTGCCTAGGTGTCGATTGCCTAGGTGTCGATAAGCGAGCGAGTGAGTGAGTGTTGTTTATAGAGGTAGACGAAGAAGAAGAGGAAAAAGAATAAAGAAAGAGAAGAAGGAAAGAATATACACAACGAGGATGGGAGATGGTGTTAGTGAGAAGCGTTGTGATACTGACACACACACACACTCTCTCTCTCTCTCTCTCTCTCTCTCTCTTTCTCTCTTTCTCTCACTCTCTCTCTCTCTCTTTTGCGGACTTGACGTGGCTGTTCCTGAGCCAGAGCCAGTCCCGAGTTGTGTGTTTGCGCACGGGCCACCTCGAATCCTTATATTCTCTCTCCCTTTCTCTTTGCCTCTCTCCTTCTTCCTGGAAATAAATGGATTGGAATCGAATTCAAGAATCGAAACGCGTCTCAATTTCGCAAATCCTGAGCCTGTCAGATCGAACAAAAACCCAAGCTGCGCTGGGCCTGTTCGATCAAGCAACACTTTGCCGCTTTCGATCGGACGCGATTCCTTCTCTCGGCCCAGAAGTCCAAGCTGACAGCGACGCGCGTCACTCAGTCGATCCAACTCAACTCAGCTGTCAGCGACGACGCTTTGACAACAGGACATCATCAGACCAACACCAACCTCTGCTGCCAACACTTGAGCTCCCACCCCCCCCCCCCAACCAACCATGGCTGACCCAACACCCTCCTCCTCCACCCAACCCCCCGCCGAACCCATCCTCTCCACCGATCCAGCCAAAGACAAAGCACTGAAAGCATACAAAAAAGCTCTGAAACAGCACGAGCAACTTTCGGAAAACCTCAAGAAACTCCGTTTCGGCCTCAAAGACCTCGAAAAGGCTTACGACAAAAGCGAAGATGACATCAAGGCGCTTCAATCTGTCGGTCAGATCATCGGAGAAGTGCTTAAACAGCTGGATGAAGAACGATACATTGTCAAAGCTTCTTCGGGACCTCGCTATGTTGTGGGCATTCGAGCAAGTGTGCCCAAGCACAAGTTGAAGCAAGGTGTACGTGTCTCGTTGGATATGACAACCTTGACGATTATGAGGATTCTGCCGAGAGAGGTGGATCCGTTGGTGTATAATATGAGTATGGAGGATCCCGGAGCGGCCAGCTTTGCAGGCATTGGTGGATTGGGAGATCAGATTAGAGAGTTGAGAGAGGTGATTGAATTGCCCTTGTTGAACCCAGAGTTGTTTATCAGGGTCGGCATCAAGCCGCCCAAGGGTGTGCTGTTGTATGGACCGCCTGGTACGGGTAAGACGCTACTTGCTCGTGCCGTCGCATCTACCCTCGAGACCAATTTTTTGAAAGTCGTTTCCTCAGCTATCGTTGACAAATACATCGGAGAATCGGCTCGTCTGATCAGAGAAATGTTCGGTTACGCAAAAGAACACGAACCATGCATCATCTTCATGGACGAAATCGACGCTATCGGTGGCCGACGTTTCTCCGAAGGTACCTCGGCCGATCGTGAAATCCAACGAACGCTCATGGAACTCCTCAACCAAATGGACGGCTTCGATTACCTAGGCAAGACTAAAATCATCATGGCTACCAACCGACCCGACACACTCGACCCAGCTCTCATGCGTCCTGGTCGTATCGATAGGAAGATCGAAATTCCGCTGCCCAACGAACAGTCCAGATTGGAGATTCTAAAGATTCACACCAAACCAGTGGCTAAGAAGGAGGAATTGGACTACGAAGCGATTGTCAAGCTAAGTGATGGATTCAACGGCGCCGATTTGAGGAATGTAGCAACCGAAGCCGGCATGTTTGCCATCAGAGATGATAGGGATTACTGTGTTCAGGAGGACTTTATGAAGGCAGTCAGGAAGTTGCACGAGGCTAAGAAGCATGAGAGTAAGATCGATTACAGTGCCATCTGAGGGCAAGGCATCTGATGCAGCGTTCATCTTCATTTACAGTAGTTGCATACAGTTTTCAAGCATATTGCAAGTCTCTCAACAGTGACTAGCCGTGTGTCTGTGTGAGCGAACCAAGAGAGTGTCCATTGAAAAGTATGCTAAGAAGCGATTACATGAGCGCAAGCGAAACGAAACTTTTGTGTGTGTGTGTGTGTGCTCTGAATGGAAAGACGATGGCAGATCGTGCTAACAGGGATATATATATATAAAAGGTCAAGTGAAGTGTGGTTTTTTTTACAACAACAACAAAGTGTCAGAGGTCGCTGGGGTGAGGAAGGATATGTCAGGATTGCGCAATCGAACAAGGGATGGGCTATGCTTCCCTTTCAAGCTCTTTGGGTATCTACTGCATACCAGCTTGCTCAAAAGCGTCGTTGATGTTTTGCTCGATGATCTCTCCCAAATTCTGGTCCTCTCGACCATCGACAAGGGAACGAGCCTTCTTAATAGTAAACTTGTCCGATTTGTTACCCGAATCGCCAAGCACTACGACAATGTAGTCGTTCCTCTCCTCCAGATCCTGTGGCAGAGTGATGCTCGTCTTTCCATCTCGAATGAGGAAACCATCGGCGAGGGTCCAGTGAAGGTTGTATCCACCTTGGCCGGATTCGGGGATGAAACCGAGTTTGATGATACCAGTGTAGTTGGCTGCCTCAGGGGGTTGGTCTGAGGTGTCCCATTTGACATGGTATGTATTGCCAGCTACCCAGACGGTGGAGGCGGTGGGTTGGGTGATGTGAGGGTTGTAAACAATGCGCTTGCCCAGAGGTTCAGCTGCATCGCGTCCGAGCATGAGCGTGTCGTAGTTGACAGATTCATATTGACGTTTGAGCATGAGTTGGGCCGGGGATGAGGTGCCGAAGGATGCTGCTGGAGCCGCAAAGGCGGATGAGAGCAGGAGAGAGGCACTGATGAGGAGGCATGTGAGCTGCATTTTTGCGGTCGATGCTATGTGAGGGAGGGATGGAGTTGGGAGAGGAACGTGATGGTCTTGCAAGTGATGGTGTTCGTTTGTCAGTGTACAGTTCCGCAATGGTGGAAGTGTTGGGGTTGGGAGAAGAGGATGATGATATGAGCGAAAGATGATGAGAGGGAGCGGGGGAGGAGGCGAGGGAGGTCTACTTTAACGAGACAGACGGTCGATAGAAGGTGGCCCCTCTGCTCTTCTCCTCTTCAGCTCAGCTTCTGTGCTATTGCTTCTAGAGAGGCACTCGACAACAGTCACGCATTGCCCCCTCTCTGTCACAACGCCCATCTGGAGGAAGCTCTGAGAGAGCATGCTGTCTGTGTATGTTTCGCGAGCTTTCTGAAATGGGCAAGTGCAACACACTAAGAGCATCACAGAGAGAGTCAAACGAGAAAGGAAATAAGAAGCTCAGACGGCATCGCTCTTCTGCTGCTCTATTGGAATTAAATCAATAAATGAATAAATGAATAAATGAATAAATCAATCAAAGGCGGAATGCGTCTCAAGAACAAAGCTTTCACCTCCGTCCTTCACGATGGTCGAGGCTAAAAGGTTTAACGTTTGCAGCGCGATTCCGACGTTCTCAACTTAAATTCAAATAAGAAGAGCGTGTGAAGTAACAAGAGCCTCTCCCTGTTGTCACCGTCGGGAGCCTATTCCGCTCTCATACTTGGTCGCTAACCTCGGAACCACACAACTCGCTCCGTACACGATCTAGTGTGCAACTAATGCGTCTCAAGCCATGCTCTTTTGCTGCCAGATGTCATCATCGTTGGTCTTCATCTGGCCATTCTTTGACCCGACTCGGATCCTTTCCCCAGTCAGGAAGAGAACCTTCCATAGACAGTGTCTTTCTCGAATGGCTTGTGGGCCAAGCTCGGCTAAGATATTAGCTCGCCACTTGGCATCCCAAAAGGAAGGCGAGAAAAAAGAAAAAAAAAAAAAAAAAAAAAAAAGAAAAAAAAAAAAAGGTGTCACGCATCGCTTTGTCAAAATGCTCTGAGATTAGTGCCCCACACCTGCATGCGTTCAGACGATCATATTCTTTCGTCAGGGGCCAACAGGTCGAGAAAAAGAGGGAGACAAAATCCACGAAATTTATAGATCGGTATCGCGATCAAAGATTCCCGATCTCGTCGTCGCTTTCCCTCACAGCACTGTCAGAACAGCCTAGCATAACAATGGCTACTGAGACACGGCAGGAAATAAAAATGAAATCATTATAAATTAAATTGGCCTCCTTGCATTCGACATGCTCCTCTCCATAATCGCAATGCTGCGTCGACTACGCTTGCCACATCACACCATTTTCCCATCACTAGTCATGGGATGCTTTTCGAGATCACAGAAGGCGTCCTTCTCCTCCTCACTGGGTTGAGGCGCTGGGGTTGGAGCTGAGGTTGGAGCTGGAGCCGTGATGATGTCGGGCAAGCCGAACAGCTGACATCAGCAGTTGTGACGAGACAGGTGACAGCTGTCGGACAATCCGAATCGGATTTGCTGCTGTTGCTGCTGTCAGAATTGCAGTGAAGAAAATGTGGCTAAAGAGGCGTCTTGCTTAGGAATGCTTATATCTTGTCTCTCTCTTAAACGCTCCCCGAACTCAGCCTTCTTCTTCTCTTCTCTTTTCCTTACCTCTTTCCTTTCTGCCTCCATCCTTCGCTCGCCACCGCTCTTGCCAATGACATCCTCGGTAGCAGACCATCCATGAGAGGCAAGGGGGCCAACAATGTCGACCGCATCTCCGTGCTTTCCGCTCTTCCTCCTGCTGCTGCTACTGCAACTCGCTCTTATGCTCTTCGACTCTGCTTCCTTTTACCGTCTCCTTGCCGTTGAAACTTCTTGACGCCCTCCTTCGTCGCTTTAGACACAGTGCCGCCGTCACTTTGCAGCCGTCTTGTGTCATCTCGCTTGGGCGCTTCAGCGGAACTTCAATTGCCTCACATCCCTATCTTCTTGGCAGCGAGCAGATCCTCTGAAACTCAGCATTGATCCTCCTCGACCCCAATCTCTCAGACATCCAACTCAGACACAGCTGATTGATCTGCATGGTCTTCTTTCTACTCAAACAGGCACTCCTGCAGGCGGCTAGTGCACACAATAGCCTCCCCCTTTGCGCCTGTTTCATCGTCCCGCGTAAACTTCATTCTCGTGTTCCTGCGATGTCTAGCTTTAGAATGCCGTTCCTACTCATGCTATCCATCGCATAGTCAGCCGCCATCGACGCAGTGATGCCATGGCTCTCTGCTACCTTAAGATTTCGTGCTCAGTCTTAAGTTTGCCAGCAGAAAAATCCTGCGCCCGTGTCGAGCAATGTGCGTCGCAGAGGATACCATTGTCACTGGAGGCGGCACAGATCAAGCTTCAGCACGTCGGCAAGCTGCTGCTTGCTACCTACCTATTGACGGCTCCTTGTCGCCCGTTCCCCCTCCGCTCGACGGCGACCTGCTGTGACTCTGACCCTCCCGCAGCTGTGACTGTACCTACTCTACTGTCCATACTCTACTGACCTGCTGCTGCTGTCAGCGAGCCTTCCAAAGAAGCGTCTGCGCTAGAACGAGGCCAGAACGCTTCTTAATCCTATTTCTTTTGCGCTATGGCCTTGCGCATTGATCGCCGTGCAGCTGGAGCCCACCACTGCTCTAGCCTCGAGCGTTCGATCCAGAACACAGAACAGCTCTTATGCCTGTCATCCACGAATTTCACAATCCCGAGCAAGGGGAGCGGATCATCGATGCAACCTGTCCCGAGAGCAGTGCCATGCTCACGGTCTGTGCGAACAAACGGTCAGGTACAACGCACCCTAGGCAAACAGCATAGCGCTACGCAAGCGAGCTGCTATCTTCGGTCTCCCACTGTTATGGCAAGCTCGATCAAGTCGAGCGAGCATCAAGCCAGGACGAATCGAGGCGAACAAGCTTCTCAGCGCAACGAGGCACACATACAGTTCTGTTCAGTCTAACTTAGCAACACGCAAGGCGAAACCGGCTAGCCAGCGGCGTACCTCGTGCAGGGGCATGCAACTCGAGCCTCCTGTCCTACGGAGCACAGATCGCGATCAACCAAATAGCCGAGCTGTCCTTCTGGGCAGTGTACCTCAGCCACAAAGATGCCCTTGCTTCTTTTTGTGTGCCTCCCTGCCTACTTACACCTCCTTCTCGCCTGCATCTTATGCACCTGTCCAGCAATGCTCGTCAGCGCTCCGATCGCTCCCAGAACGGTGGTCAGATCTCCACTCCTCTGTATCCACCCTCCCTCACTTCTCATTCCTATTGCCCATCGACAGTGACATTTGGACGCTGACGCCGACGAACCCGCCGCATTTCTGACTTGCTGTGGCCCATGTCTCACTCCATGCCACAGCCCTTCTCGTTGCGTATGGTCTTATCTTGCCTTGCTCGCTGTCATCTCCGTCTCCCATCGTCTCTTGTCGCCTCCTCGCCTCGTTTTGCCTTAGCATGTTGCAGTCTGCCCTTGCATCCCTGCCTCGAGCTTGGCCTAAGTTCGTCCTACGTCCCCTGCCTTTCACCTGTCGATCATTGCGTCGAATCTTCTTCCACCGTCGAGTTTGTGTGGATTCAGTGGCCGTTTGACCTCTTGTCATGCTCTGCCGTCGTTCCTCGCCGTGGCCCTCGAGCGCTTGTACCTCTCCAACGCATCCTCGTTGCATCTCCGACTTTTCGTGTTCCTTCGGAACATTCTCTGCAATCCACCTCAGCGCCGATGCCATGCTGCCCAAAGATTGGGCTTCCTCTGGCCCAGGTCCTGCTTGGCATGGAGCGAGAGTCGAATTGCTAGCAATCAACCATCCAAGGCCCTCTCGGATACTGCCTCGGTCCAGGGCAGACTCTCCCCTGAGCCACTTTGCCACTATGTGGGTACCTGCCTCAAGGCTGTTTGCGCAGGTCTAGCAGGGGAATCCCACCAGATCATCGCTTGCCCTACATTGTCAAACAGCACTTGCCTTTCTCGGCTAGCTGGCTCTCCCAGTGATTCTATGCTGGATGGACAGCTGATCCGTCAGAGACTCCGCTTCAATCATTGCCACTGGATATAAAGACCAACCTCCTCGTCTCCTCTTCTCCTCCTTTTCTCATCATCATCCCTCACCTTCCCAGCTCTCCCCTAATACTCAGCGCTTCCTAGCCAGAAGTCAAGTCAAGTTTTTCCCCTCTCTTCCCCCGGAATCCCCTCTTGTGTCGTGTCCAACTCTCTCTTTCGGTCTTTATCGCCCCCCAACTGGAATCCACATTCTCTTTCTTTAGTTCAGCTCTAATCGGCCAACCCTTCAACACCAACCTCATCTTTGTCAGCTTTTGCAATAATGCCTTCCAAGATTGCTCTCTCCATCTCAGCCTTGGCCATCGCCATCGGCATGGTCAACGCCGCTCCTCACTACGAGTACAAGTCGTACAACGGCGGCCACAACGTCGTCTCAAACAACGAGAACAAGCTCATCGACCTCTCCGAGCTCGGTCTCGACGTCGACCTCCTCAAGCGCACCAACTACGCTGTCTGCAAGAAGTACGTCTCCTCCTACAACGGTGGTCACAACGTCTACACTGTCAACGAGAACAAGCTCATCGACTTGTCCGATGCTACCGTCGACATCAGCCTTCTCACCACTGATGGTCGCAAGCAGAAGACCTGGCGCAAGGTTCCTCGCCACTGTCTCGAGTACATCAAGAGCTACAACGGTGGCCACAACGTCGTCGTCTCCAACGAGAACAAGCTCATCGACCTTTCCAACCTTGGTCTTGGCCTTGACCTCCTCAAGCGTCACTCCTCCGACGTCGAGTACTATAACGCTGGGCACAATGTTGAGCTCGACAACGAGAACAAGCTCGTCGACGCATCCGACCTTCTTGTCGATGTCGACATCCTCAGGCGCAAGGCCCCTACGTTCTCTTCCTACAATGGTGGCCACAATGTTGAGTTGACCAACGAGAACAAGCTCGTCGACGCATCCGACCTTCTTGTCGATGTCGACATCCTCAGGCGCAAGGCCCCTACGTTCTCTTCCTACAATGGTGGCCACAATGTTGAGTTGACCAACGAGAACAAGCTCGTCGACGCATCCGACCTTCTTGTCGATGTCGACATCCTCAGGCGCAAGGCCCCTACATTCTCTTCCTACGATGGTGGCCACAACGTTGAGTTGACCAACGAGAACAAGCTCCTTGATCTCTCTGGCCTTCTCGCCAACGTCGACATCCTCAAGAAGCGCACCAACGCTGACTACTCGTACTACAACGGTGGCCACAATGTCGAGTCGACCAACGAGAACAAGTTGATCGACCTTTCGGATTTCCTTGCCCACATCGACATCCTTAAGAAGCGCACCAACACCGAGTACTCGTACTACAACGGTGGCCACAATGTCGAGTCGACCAACGAGAACAAGTTGATCGACCTTTCCGACTTGACCGCTCTTGTCAACGTGCTTAGCAAGAGGAGCCTCAAGGGTTACGGCTCCAAGATTCACGCTCGTGACATCTCCGAGACCCTCTACCGCCGCACCAACAGCGACGAGGACTGCACTTGTGTCAAGAAGCCCAAGCCCACCCCCCCCAAGCAGAACCCTACCCAGCCTCCTCGTGGCAACAACGGTGGCAACGGCGATGGCTGCTCTGTTGACAAGCCTACTCCTCCTACCGACAACAAGCCTACTCCTCCTACCGACAACAAGCCCACTCCTCCTACCGACAATAAGCCTACTCCTCCTACTGACAACAAGCCTACTCCTCCTACCGACAACAAGCCTACTCCTCCTACCGACAACAAGCCTACTCCTCCTACCGACAACAAGCCTACTCCCCCCACCAAGGTCACTTGCGGTACCAACGAGGTTTACATCAACGAAGGTCACAACGTCGTCTCCCGTAACGAGAACAAGCTTTTGGACTTGAGCGACATCACAATCAACATTGACATTCTCGGCGACCTTCTCGGTGGTGAAAAGAAGAAGAAGCAGCAGTCTGTTCCTGCTACCTCTGTTTGCACTGCCAAGTCGGGATGCTGTGTCGCCAAGTCGGTCTACTACTACAACGGTGGACACAACGTTGAGTCGACTAACGAGAACAAGGGGCTTGACCTTTCGGGTCTTAACCTTGGACTTAACATCCTTTGAACCCGCTCACAGCGCAGTTCCACCCTTTGGTAAGGGAGGAAGCTTGGGAGCGGTGAAGCGATTTTGATGGATCAGACAGAATAGAAGGGTTGGTGATTGGTTGTTCGGTTCCCCATTAGTACTGTCCCCTTTTGAACCCTTGGCCGGGTTTGTAAAGTTGAGGACTCTAGCGGTTTCGGTTTACCACACTATTCTCATCAACTCTTTCTTGCTTCTTTATCAAATCAGCTGGCTTCTTTGCTATCGCTTTCGAATATCCTTCTCTATCGGGACAGTTTCTTTTCCCTTTTACCCTCTGAATTACATCCACTCGGAAGTCTCTCCTGGGACTTTTAGTCACTCCGAAGGATAGGACACTTATTGGCTTTGTGTCTTTCCCCCTCCCCCTAATCTTTACCGTTTGATCGCACTTCCCCCACTCCTACATACACTCTTTGATTTGACTTGTTTGTTGTTACCTGGCTAGACTCGCTTTTCCTGTTGGAATACACACTCTCTTTGGACTTTAAACTTGTTCGTTTGTGTTTGATACTTGAGTTGTGGGCTTTGGTTTGGGTTGGTTTTGCTGTTCCTGGGTCTGTCTTTTTCGCGTTCACTTGTGTTTGCGTTTGGTGGAGCTTGCGACAGGATCCTTCTAGATTGCGGGAGGGAGAGGGGGTTAGCGATGAGAAGGAGTTTTTTGACTACTGCTTTAGGAATCTCATGTCTCGGCTGCACAAATCTCTCTCGATCAGGATGAGCGTTTGTAAGCGATGTTTCATCATCACACATCACCTTGTGCGCAATGAAATTGAGGCCATGTTGATGATGAGGATTGGCTGAACAGCTGGGAAAAGTTGTATTACTGCTGTCTAAGCTGGAAAGGGCGACTAGGGAGGATTGGTAGGTAAGAAATTGCCAACGATCATATGAGGAATATTCCATTGATCTCGTCGAATGGTAAAGGAGAAACAACAATGGATGAAAGCTGCTTTTGGATTGTTAGGATCTTTCAAGACTCCGGATGTGCTTGTTGCACCTGTTTCCGCAGCAACTTTCTCGTCTTGTTTCATTGCTATACCTGCGCCAACTCGGCCTTCTGTAATTGGAGTTTGTTGACGAGACGCAGAAGCTGAGCGTACAAGTTGAGCAGCGATACTCTTTGCACTTTGCGCAGTACCACCACTACCAACGCCACCTGCAACAATCGCTTTATTCTTCGTCCTCAAAACACAACTTGTCAGCACTGCTTTCTGACCTGGATCGAAACTTACTGCTCCATATTTCTCCCAATAATTCACCGCACTTTCTTCGGCCATCAACTCGTAAATACACAACCTTCCCTCCCTAAGACCTTCAATCGGAACACCAACCAGCTCTGCAAACTCTTTGTTGCCCTTATAAATCTCTCCCGTTCTCCGCCACAAACATGCTGGAATACCCTGCGTACTAAACACTCGGTCATAGTCGAGTAGAAGCCGTTCAAACGCCTCTTCGATGAACACTAGATCGATGTTGGTCAGTGACTGAGCTACGGCTCGGAAAGCAGGTCGGAAAACGCATAGAGGTTTGAGAATTCGACGTTTGGAAGCAGCGGAAACATTGCGTTCCATCCAGCGGTTTAATCTTGCATAACCATTGACGTGGTTATATGGGCGCAGGAGACCGGCTTCGTATTTAGCTTGGATCACTCGGGCAAGCCGTTCATCGCGAGTACCGTCTTTTTGGTCTGCTGCTGTCAGGAAGAATCGTTCTGTTTTCGAGGAGCCGCCTTGGAGCGAGGGGAGGTAGGAGCCTGAGGCGATGCTGGAATTGCCTTGGGCCGCAGTGGTCCTTGTCCTCGTGTTGGCCGAGGTGGAGGCGGAAAATGATGATCGGCGAGAACGTTTCCCATTTCCCTCGTTGTTTTGGGTTGGTTGCTTGGTGGTGGTGTTGAATCCATTGTAATCAGAACCAGAATTAGGATCGTAGATGTTCCCAGTGTTGTTGCTAGATGTCAGAGCGGAAAGGCTGTTCGATCGATCATTATTAGCGTTTGCATTGATCGGTGTAAGGGCAGTGAGACCTTCCATCATCCCTCCACTGGTTGAAGCAAGACCTGAGATGGTATTCCTCCTACTCTGAGACGGAGTTAAACCCGAACTCGTCTGCGCAGCAGCCCCAGTCATCCCCGGCGTAGCCCCGGCAACAAATCCAGGTCCATCCAGACTCTCCAAAAACTCGCTTAGAAGAGTAAACTCATTCCCTCCAGCCGAATCTCCTCCAAACCCGCTTCCTCCTCCTTCGTATCCTCCTGGTCCTCCGCCTAGTCCGAGCCATCCGGCTCCACCCAAACCTGAAATGTCTCCTGTTGGGGCAGAGGTGGTGGGTTGAGTCGGTTGAGATATGTTTCCGTTCCCCACACTTCCCCCCTGTGCAGTAGTGGTGTTGTTGTTGTTGGTGGTGGTGGTGGTGGAAGGGGCGGGGTTTGTCATATTGAACAAGCTAGCAAGGGAAAGCATCCCTGCATTGTTGTTCGAGGTTGAGGGTTGCATGCTCGCCCTGCCCTGTGCTGGGGCCGTGGAGGTGGTGGGGGGTTGGGGTTGGGGTTGTAGTTGTTGTTTGGACATGTTCGCAGCGCCAAACTCTGCATAGTTGTTCTGGTTGAGCGAAGACATGGGTGAGGCTGAAGAGTATGGGCCATTTGAGCTGCCATTGAAGGCCGAACCGCCGTTGTTCCTGTTGCCACTGTTGCTTCCTCCCGCTGCTCCTGCATCCGTCGAGCCGAGCCCTAGGGTTGGAAAGAAGTTGCTCGCACTGGCATTCGCACCAGTAGCTGGTGGTGGTGGTGGTGGTGGTGGTGGTGGTGTAGCAGAACCGTTCCCCACCCCCGTCCCCGCTTTCGACTGAACCTTGGCCTTGGACGGAGTGCCAGAACTACCCATCTCACCATCCCCTCCGCCATGAACCTTGGCCGGCATAGCTTCGTCATGACACAAATGTCCAATATCTCTCTTTATACATCTTTGACAAGGTCTACCTTCGTCGCAAGTCATATGCGATCTTCTGCAATAGATGCATGCCAGATTCACTTTTCTCCTCTTCGAAGGCTTATTTTTCCTGCCTGCACCCGCTGTGCAGGGGAAACTGTCAGTATCATCACCAGCTCCGCCGCTCGATTCGCGTTTGCTTGAAGGGCCAGAAGGCGCTGGTGAGGCGGAAGCGAGGTTGGGTCTGGAAGGGGTACCTGTAGAGGTGGTGTTGGAGGTGGAGGTGGAGGAGGAAGCGTTGGTGGAGGAATAGAGACTACGTGGATCGAATGGTGGTGGTGGAGTCATGCTGGGCCGCTTCCATCCATCCAAAGCTCTCCGAGAGGAGATGGTGACTATGATGTGGTGGTGGTGTAGGGATGTCGGAATATGGTGGTGGATGTAGAAAGATGGATGGAGAAAGATGCAAGGAGAAAGATGCAAGGAGAAAGATGCAAGGCTTATGGTTGCCGACGAGACGAGGTGAGGCTGGCGCCTGTTAAATTTGCAACCCCACAAAATCGGTCGATATCAACGTGACTCTAGCCAATTTGGATCATGCTGTCAGACAAAGAACAGGAGGAGGTGCACTATGTGCTGGTATCTGAGATTGATCTATGCTTGTGCATCAGCGCTGTCGGTGCTTCTCCTGGTACTTTGCTGAACTTTGCGTTCGACGGCGCCAAGAAAGAACATAGCAAAAGACTCGAATTTGACCATATCGATGCCGTATGTGCAATTCACCTTGACAACGAGCCCAGTCCCTCCGGTTTCATTCGTCTCGTGAATGGAGATCCTCACCATCATCAGCGGCTCTATGTTTGATGTGTCCTGCAAGTGCGTCGAGTCAGAGGCTTGTGCTTGGAGCTTAGACCGTCGTGCTCGACGAGTCCAGCTTTCTTGCGTCAAAATCACATCGAGCCTACCTGGATCTGCATCTGACCTCCTCCGAACTGCTTGATTCAACTCTGACACTGACTGAGATCTAAATCTGCTTCCCCTCCGCTGCCCTGCGTCTTGCTGCCCAGAGTATGAAGAAGGATAAACAAAACATCCATCCAGGTCTCTCAAGATTGCCATGGTAGATTCCAGGAGCTCCTTTCTAGTCCATCCAGGTCCCACATCTAGCTTCTTCCCTGTACGCTCTGTCGAGTTGGGACGGCTTTTCTCTAGCGAGCTCCGAAGATCCTTCCTTCCGAGCTCATCGCTGAGTCTGAGCTTTGTCCGGGTCCACATAATGACCCATCGCTTAGTCTTGCCTCCACCAGTCTTTAGCTCGTTTACGCCCCATCCTCCTATTTTCCCCTCTCCTGATAACACTTTCAATTCAGCGGCGAGCTGAGCAACACTGGACAATTTGCCTAGCATACAAGTCCACCAAAGAACCTTTCTCTCGGTGGTGATGCTTTCACGTATCATACGCTGGACCAAGCGGACTTGGCCTCCTTCGACGATCATTTCTGATCTCGAGCCGTGACAGACCTATTCACATCGACACATATCGAATAGGGTAGGGGAAAGGGGTGTGAGTGGAAATGAGGTGGCATGACACCTAGGAGGGAGGGAGGCGAGCAGGGCACTTACAGCATTCGCAGGCAACTTCTTGAGTGATGCCGAACGATTCATTTCTTCAAAGCTTGTGTAGAAGGGTGGGTTGCACATCGTGAACTCCAGTCCAGTCTGTTGATCAGGTAGGAAGGAGGCATTTGGGTCCACATGAAGCAGCGAGACTCGATCGCTGAGGTGGGTTCCGTTGTTGGGATGATCGATGATGTGGTTCTTTGCATAGTCGAGGCTGTTGGGATCGATGTCAGTGGCAGTAAAGTTCCAGTGTGGAAAGCAAGCAATGCCGAGGATAGGATAGATGGCTGATGCGCCTGTGCCGATGTCTAATCCGCGAATCCTGTCGTCGGCGGGGGGAGGTTGGTGTTGAAAGTGGTGGAGGAGATGCCATGTGGGGAGGCTCCAAGTTAGGAGCTCGTGGATTAGGGAGATGTATGCTAGTCTGAAGGGGAAAGGCAAGGTTAACTTGGGTTGCATGGGAAGGGTGCATGGAGGGGAGAGCTTACCTGTTCGGTATCTGCCAACGTATCATTGCGTTGGTGAAGAGATAGAGGTCAATCATACAGTAGAGTGAGATATTGTTTAATGCAGGAAAGAGGAAAGTGCTTACAGTAGGACACAAGTTTGAGAGTGAGAAAGTGGCGTATATGCCAAAGTCGTGCTGTAGTAGGGTTTCGGCAAGACATCTGACTGCCTCGGCATCTTGGAAGTCTATCTTGGCTTCATAGCCGCGGTCATCCTTGACACTATAGAAGGTCAGCGGAAGGAGAGCGGTAATGTCAGTTACACTAATGCAAAGAGTCGGCAATGGTGAAGGAAAGGGATACATACAACTTGCCCAATGTCGCCGGGTACTTGGCTGCCAAGGCGCGAAAGTCGGGCGTGCTAACACGATAGAGGCTTGGATCTGTCATGGGCTTAAAGCAGCATCTGTCAGTATCACGGTTGTCGCTCCATGAGGTCGATCGAAACCGTCTGCTCACCAATCTTTGGCTGTAAGAGCCGCGTCAGGCGAGGACGCTGATAGGCATACCACCTCCAATCAACTCTGTTCTGTGCTCTCGCAAGTCTCTGGTCTTGAACCTGTACGTTGGCAAAGGGGTATACATAGCATTACGAAGCATGAAGCAGTCAGATAGAAATACATCATAAAAGCCCAACCAACAAAAGTAGCAGGGTAAGTGGAGATCAACGCACAGTATTTGATCCGCGCTTTGCTCTCATCTGAGCCCAGATGCTCTTGGCGATCCGCTCGAAGGCTTGGTCCATGTCGAGCGATTCTCCGTCGTGTTCCTGTGCGTAGCTCTGTTCGAGATCTTGCCGTCGTGTTATGGTGGGTTGGAGCGCTTTGAGGTCTGCTTTTGAGATGCCAGGTGCTCGACGCTGGCGTGTTTGGAGCTCTGGTGGGTATTCGAGGAGCTGGACACGAACTTGGCCGTAGGGCCTGCGGAGACCTTGGAGTGAGGCTTGGATGGCGGGGATGTGGTCTGGTGAGCTTGATGTGGAAGCCAAGATGGCGGTTGGTCGTGTTTGGTCGATTAGGCGATCGCTTTGGAGGTCGTCGTACTGGACAATGACTTGGAGGTGATGTGTGGGCTCGTCGTCGGGATTCTCGCGTTTGCGTTTGGCTGCTGCGACGAGAGCTGCTGCTGTGGGGTTGGATGGGACTTGCTCCGCTTGGTCTTGTGCGCCGTTGGAGGGAGCGGTGGAAGAGGGAATGCGCCAGGTGAGCTTGAGGAGATCAAAAGCCTCTGTGCCAAGCGCCTCTAAGGCGAGTTGTTCATCTCGGCTGCTTCCAGGCAGAGAGAGCTGTTGGAGCGCCATAGCCTGCTGCCGTCTTGACACGTATGCTTGCAGATGGCAGTGAAGGTCGGATAGAAAGGCGTGTACTCCCGGCAGATTCAAGAAGTGCGACAACAAGGTCAATCCGCCGGCTTCATGGTCTCTTTCGGCTGGGCTCTTGCTGCCTGCTTCGCCTGTGGCCACAGTGGGGATGTATCTCTGCACAAGGCTTGCCAATGGCACAAAGTGGGGCACTGTATGTCTAATGAGTCTCAACCCATCGGCCAAGGAATTTGCCTCAAGATCCGCTGCGGTCGTCTGGCCGAGCTGCGGCATGGTATCGAGCAACTGGGATGGTCGAGCAAAGACCAAGTAATATGGCTCGTAGAAACGAGCTCTGTAGAAAGTATCGAGTCGGATGCCAAGCGCCAAGTCGCCATCCTTGTCGGCAGATGCGCTATCGCGTGCAAGTCGAGCGCGGCGACCGACATCAAGATCCATCTCAAAACATGTCCAGGCAGACGATCGGTACAAGATGGCTTTCTCTTCGAGCGATCGTAGCTGTTGTCCAAGCTCTTGATTGTGTAAGTCAAGTGGGCTGCGATGGTCTGCTTCCAGTTCGGGAAGGGCGCGCAGGGAGGCGAGCTGTGACTGGAGCAGAACCTTGTCTGCGCGAAGCTGACTGAGTTTGTATCTGAGCTCGTCCGTGGTGGCGCTCATGATGGCAGTGCTCGATTGAAGCTGTCCGTGGTCCTGATCGTGCTGGTCAGTTGTGGCGGTCAGGAGTATGACAAGCGAGCCTGAACCCGAACTTGTCCATTTAAACATGAAGAGACATACGATTAGCGCGACGCGACTTGCTCATCAAGGGTCCAAGTCCAGCCCGAAACGTGTCTTTTTGCTTCACGCGTCTGGCTTCACGCGTCTGGCTTCACGCGTCTGGCTTCACGCGTCTGGCTTCACGCCGTCTTTCTTGTTTTCTGGTTAAAAAAGAAAAAAAGAAAAAAAAAGAGAAAAAAAAAAAAAAAAGGAGCCGAAATCAAGGCTACAAAAAGGGGATTGCTTGAAACCAAGGACGAGCAGAAGTAAGCTCAGATAGCAGGACCATCTGACACGGGAGAGCCGACACGGAAGAGCCGACACAGGAGAACCGACACAGGAGAGCCGACACGGATTCTCGCACAGACCATGACGATCGAACTGCTTTGTCCAGCATCCTCGATGCCGTCGGATCTGTCCGAGCGAGCAAGCAGACAGACAAGAGAGCTTGCATCCGAACACAGCACAACAACAGAGGTCGGACAGGACGACCGGCCCTGCTGGATTTCGGCCTCACCGAGGCGCGCTCTGGAAAGGAGCACTTCTGAACAGAATGCAGACAGTCGAGTTGTGCTGGGTAGAAAGAGCGCATCGGGCAATAGTTTGGGTGATAGCGACAAAGCTTCAAGCTAGGATCTATCAGGTAGCGATCCTCTACTTCTCTTGCCTGTCGGTTGCAGTTGCCGCTTTTCCGAGACCAACACTTGTTGAGAGAGGCAGAAATAAAAGCAACGCTGGTGCGGCTGCACATGCCAAAGCAGTCAAATAAGCAAGCAAGCAGTCAAACAAGCAAGCAAGCTGCGCGTCCACCTTTTTCACCGCCTCTTGGAGCGAGCAACACTGAAAATATGCCCGGCCCGTCCAGTTTGGCACTCGGCCTAGGTAGCTGCAGCTGTGCACATCGCCGAAGCCGAGGCATTCTTCGCAGCTGTCACTTTGTCCATCTTTGCTGGCCAATTGCCCCCTCCCACCTCTTCTCAGCTCAACGGTCCTTCAAATCCGCTCTTCTGTTCTTATAGAAAGAGGTGGGAGGTGGAGCATGAAGCAGAAGCCAATTGTATGACCAAGCAGCTCTATGCCTCGGTCAAATGAACAGCGTTGCAGCAAGCTTAGGCGCAAAAGCAATGCGGGGAGCAAAGGAGCCCTGCTTCATGTCGCCGCCGCCTACAGTCCCTTTTCCCAGCCAGAATTGGATAGCGGTTCAGCCTGTGCTCTGCCCTCCAGAGTTGCGATGCTCAATCGACAGAATATGTCGCTTTCGGGTTGGTCGCTGGTCGAGCAGATCTGCAATCCAAAGAGTCTGTACCATTGCATTTGATCGTTGATCCTGTTTCAATTCTGGCTTGCCCATCGAGACATGTCGCTCTGCTTGGTGACGTCCGTCTGCTGCTCCGACTCGTCTGCCAGACGAGACGAGCAGAGGTCCATTCTCCGATCAATAGAGATCAAGCACAGGATGCATAGGATGCCTAACCTCTGCCACTTGTGCAGATAGGCAGATGTCTTTGGACCGCAGAAGAAGAGACAAACGATGAGCTTACGAATAGTAGTATATGCAAATATCTCGATCGCCCCTTGAACTCGGCAGCTCTCGGCTTCTTGGCTGTTTGGCTGCTTTCTGTGTGTGTTGTTCCTTTCAAGTCTGCTCTCGATGTTTTGATCTGTCACCTTTCCTTTGCTTTCCTTCTTTGCTTTCCTTCTTTCCTTCCAATCACTCGCCAGTTACCAGCTCTTTCTAGTCCCGTCTGATCCTCCTCACGCCCTCTGCTCTCACCACGGCACTCTTTCTCAGGTTTGTCGGTGTTGATCCGTGTCTGACTGATCATCGGAAGCGCCGATCAACACTGATCTCACCCTCTCTGCCAGCAAAACAACACTCTTTCTGTGCCTGGTTCTAGGAGCTCTGTTTCCGTTTGTCTGTTGGCCATTGACAGAAGACAAGCCGTGTCGAAGGATTCAATCTGCGAACTGCTGCTTGTTTTCTGCTGGCGAATTGCCTCCTCACAACTCTTCGTTCCGCCACTTGATCAGTGGAATTGTCCGCCAGTCAGCCAGTCAGTTGGCAAAACCTTCCTCTTGCCTAGCCTCGCCACCGTCCCTTCGCCAACCTCGCCCTTTCGCCAAACCCCCCCCCCCCCCCCCTCACCCATCATCACCGTCGCTGGCCCCCGACACCTTCACCTCTCTCCCTTCTTCCCTCTCGCCGTCATCAACCTATACCACTCCACTCCACTCTACTTGTTTTCCCCTTCCTAATCCCCCCATTTCCCTTGTCTTCCGGCTTCGTTCATCTCGACACTATCAGCTCCAACAGAGTCGCAACGCTCTGTTCATTCTACCATCACATTCTTTACATTCGATTTCAGCACGACATAGCTTGACTAGCTACCTTCTCAGTCGACTCTAAGCCATCTCAACGCAACACAAACACAGCCCAGGTCAACACACTCAGCAACGAGATAGGTACCGGCCATCGTTGTGATCGCTTGGCAATCATAATCTCATTCACTAACTAGTCGAGGCATCGAACAGGACCTCACTTGGACTCTGTTCACCATGTCTTCTTCTCAGCGACCCGTCATTCAGGCCATCCCTCCGTTCAAGGGTGCAGATCCCCTTCAGGCAACAGATGTGCAAAACCGCAGACCCACCGCAGTAGAGGCATATGTCGCCCTTGCCAACCGCAAGGCTGGCGCCAACGTAGTCTCCACAAGAGCCACTGGCTCAGAAAACCATCATCGACCCTCTCATCACCACGCCACCAGCCATCACGCCTCCCAACGCCAACAGCCACTGCCAGCAGTCGACCGCAGACCGCCACAGCAAGCCGCAGCACCTAGCGAGCGTCCAAAGCCTGTATCACGTCTGGAGAGAGAAAAAAAGCGTCATCACAACGACCCAAAGAACATTGGCCACTGGAGGCTCGACAAGCTCATTGGTCAAGGTGCTTCGGGTCGTGTTCGTCTCGCTCTTCACGATCAGACCGGTCAGAGAGCCGCTGTCAAAATCATCCCCAGAACACTCATCAATGCCAGTCGTATGAGCTTGCGTGATGCCGATGTCAAGGCCAACAAGATGATCCTTGGTATCGAGAGGGAGATTGTTATCATGAAGCTCATCGAGCACCCCAATCTTCTCGGTCTCTGGGATGTATATGAGACATCAAAGGATCTGTAAGTCTGCCCTCTAGGCTAGGTAAATTTCTCAAAGAGCATCCGACTGACCTCCGCTTGTACGCACACACACACATCTTGCTGAATCAACAGCTTTCTCATCATGGAATACGTTGCCGGTGGTGAGCTCTTCGATCACCTTGTCGCTCAAGGCAAGCTCACTCCTCAAGACGCTCGCAGCTACTTCCGTCAGATCATTTTCGGTATGGACTACTGTCACCGCTTCAACATTTGCCATCGCGACTTGAAGCCCGAGAATCTCTTGCTCGACGAGTCCAAGAAGATCGTCAAGATTGCCGATTTCGGTATGGCTGCACTTCAGCTCACAGAGAAGATGCTCGAGACCAGCTGTGGCTCTCCACACTATGCTAGTCCCGAAATCGTCAGTGGCAAGCGATACAAGGGAACCGCAAGCGACATCTGGAGTTGCGGTATCATTCTCTTCGCCCTTCTGTGTGGACGTCTTCCCTTTGACGACCCTAACATCCAGCAGCTACTCGGCAAGGTCAGGGCAGGCAAGTTCGTGATGCCCGACTGGCTTGAGCCTGCCTCCAAGGACCTCATCTGGAGAATGCTCGAGGTGGATCCCGAGAAACGAATCAAGATGGTCGACATCATGCGTCACCCTTGGTTCACCAACAACGGCAAGGAGTCCTCGGTCAACACTGTCTCTACCTCGCTCGAGACACTTCAGATGGAGCAGTTGACCCTCGACACCATCGATGTTGACATTCTCGGCAACCTCAAGACGCTCTGGTCCGAGCTCAGTGAGGAGGACATTGTCAAGGAGTTGCTTGCGCCAGGACCAAGCTGGCAAAAGACCTTCTACACTCTCCTCACCGCGCATCGTGAAAACCACTCTGCCGACGATGACGAGGACATGGAGGATGACTTTATCAATGAGCAGATCGTCAATGCTAGTGCTGTGCCAGCTCATGCTCTGCTCTCTGCCTCCAGCGCGGGCAAGAAAAAGGCACGCCCTCGTCGGGCTGGAGATACGGCTGGTGCCACATCTGCTCCTTCCTCTCCCAGGCTTGAGAGCATGGACATGGAGCGAAGGCACAGCACTCCAGAGAAGGATTCAGCATATCACACCACACCTACTCGCCCCACTGATGTCATCCCTGCCAAAGTGGCCACTCCCGTTCCATCGCCTCATGTTCGCCCCGCCAATCCTTCGCCCCGTCTGCGACCATCGCCACTTGACTCTCCTGCCACTGCCACCTTGGATGGTCCTTTCGCAACTCCTTTGAAACTGAGGACACCTTTGCCATCCAAGCCTGCCGGTGCTCGCGCCGAGAACACTGGAAGCTACATTCTGCCTCAGATCTCGTTGCAGACCGCTTCTCCGCAGCGCAACAAGCAAACTACTGTTGACTTGCAGCGACGCAACACTTCGCCAACTAAGGTCGCTGCCACCAGCGCACCACCTTCGGCACGCATTGCTTTGGCCAATCTGTACGATGCTCCTACATTGTCAGCAGCATCTGCTGCTTCGACCTCGACGTCGTCCGCTGCCTCTTCATCTGCATCCCTTACTACTACACGGGCTCGGGCTAACCGTGGCTCTGGTTCAGAGATGATGATGCCTCCCCTGGCTCTTCCTGGACGTGCCTCGTCGCGACCTGTCTCTCCCACAAAGCCTACCTTTGGTGCAGCTGTTATGCAACCGTCTCAGCCTGTCCCTACAATTGCTGCTCAGTCAGTGCTGCAGAGGCCAACAGCCGCACGAGCACACACAACTCACGCTGCTCCATCCATCCAGGTGCCACAGGTTGGTGACGCTACCATGCAGAAGTTCTTCCAGGAGATCGCCGATGAGCTTGCGTCTATCCGCGCTACCGGTGAGAAGCCGGACGCGCTTCGGTCCAAAATCGAGCAGCTCAAGAATTCGATGGCTTTGCAACAACAACAGCAGCAGCAACGACCGCAGCCAACCTCAACGACGCGTGCTACTGGCGGCAAGAATTCGGAAATGAATCAGTTCGAGGATGCCGAGGACGATGTCAGCGAAGGCGAAAGCATGCGATCTGTATCGCAAGCCTCTTCGCATCAGCAGACCTACACACCTCAAATGCCCATGACTCCTCTCAGCCCTGCCGAGTTGATTGCCCCCTTATCACTCACTGACAAGGCTGGCGGCAGCGTGAGATCCAGTGTTGCCAGCTCGAACGCCAGTGCCCGCAACTCGATTCGCAGTGCTCGCAGTGCTCGCTCTGCTCGCTCTGCTACCGAGGCTAGCAGCTCTGGTGCCACCTCTCGCCCAGCCAGCGTGTTCAGCAACATCAGCACTGGCAGCGCCGGTCTTGGCAGGAAGCGCTCGCTCCTCGGTCTTCGTCGTGGTGACAAGCACCAGCAACAGCAGACTGCCACAGACGCCAACGCCATCCGATCGATCGCTTACGATCAGGCCCATGCCCCTCCCGCGCTCGCCAGCATCTTTGCGGCTCCACCCATGGCTGCTACTCGATCCGCGCCCGGCCAAACATCGACGCGTGTGCAGAAGCTCAACCCAGGTCTTGGTCTCGACATTGGAATGGGTGGCAATGCTGGTGTTGGCGTTCTTTCGCCACCCACCACACCTGTCTCTCCCCACGTTGCCACGCTCGGAACTGTCTCGAGCAGCACTGCTGGTGTGCCTGGCAAGAAGGACAGCTGGTTCGCCGGCCTTTTCAACTGGAAGCCTGCTACCTTTACGCTCATGTCGACCGAGAACTTCTCAGAGACCTTGAGCGAGTGTGTTCGCAGGTTGCAGAGCTACGGCGTTCGCGTTGCCTTGGATGACTCGTCTGACGTGCACCACACTACACTCAAATGCAGCATCAACGAGTACCACGACTCGAACGGCGTCACTACTGCCGCCAAGCCTCTGCGTTTCCGTGTCGAGCTGAACATCTTGCCTGTTGGATCGGCGGCCAACTCGCCCCAGATGGGTGGTGGCTTGGGTCTGTCGCTCCACGGCGGCCCTATTGCTGGGGGAAATGGTGCCATGAGCCATGGTCTGCCTTCGCCCGCGCTGAGTACCTACTCGCGTGGCAGCACTGCTGGCGGCGTTACTTTTGCGACCTCGGTGCAGGTGATACAAGAGAAGGGTGCTTTGAGCACATTCAAGCTCGTTCATGGTCGCCTTAGACGTGAATGGACGCTCGACCTTGCTTCTGCCATTGTCTAGTCAGCCCTTCTCTGCGTATACATTCAACTTGACTCTGCTTTTCGACTTCTTCCGCGCTAGCCCGGTCTACGGGACCAGTACTTTGTCTTTCACCCATTTGTGGCCCATTCTGATAGCTCCTTTATCACCGCATGCATCCTAGCTCGTTACACCTTACAATCTCTTTTTTTCTCTCTCTCTCTCTCTCTCTCTCTCTCCTGACACACACACACACACACACACACACACGCTCGTTACATGCACACATTCTCTTGACCCGTCGTTTTTATCTTTTGCTTTTCGATCGTCCGTATTCAATGAGAAACTAGATTTTCTTGATCATATCATGATGTGATGATAGGTGATGAGGAAGAGACGAGTGATCGAGACAATATAGGTGGAAAGAGGAGGAGAAGGGAATGCTGAGATGGCCCGAGAAGGGAAAAGACTGTGGTAAAGGGCCGAGTGAAGGCGAAAGGAGAGAGAAAAAAGTCTAAAATTGCTCTGCCGCGCAAGAGGCGCACGGGAATTGATCAGCAGGCAAATTTCCACACGTCAAAAAACAGAAGCCAAACAAAAATGAAACCAAAACAGTGAATCTGCCCGATCGGATGCATGCTAGCACTTGATCGCTCCCCAGCAGGCCCCCTTAGTGGGCTTCTCAATGTCCTTTAGAAACCATTATTGGTGTCCGTGTCCGTTGGCGGCGGTGTTGAGCCAAGCCTGATGTCCCGCTTGTCTTCTAAAGGGGAAATAGGGTGTCCAAGGTCATTTCCATCGCTCGAAAGCTGATCCAGTCGCCCTGATCTTGGTCTCGGCGTCGCCTTCTGTCGGCCGTAGGATTCATGAGCCAAACCGTTCGCAGCAGCGGCATGCCAATGTATGCAGTGTTGTTAGATTATGATATCAAATCGACACGCGACTCGCCGCTCTCCATTTTTTGATCCCGTCACGGAGTTTTTCTTTTTCTATGGGTAAGCCAGGCTTCTCTGGCTTGGGACCTTGGCTCAAGTGCCTTTCCGCCGCCAGGTCTCGAAAATGAAAATTTACCGACTGATTAGAAATGACACTGCTCAGATGCCTTGATCCAGTGGAAAACACGAGGTCGAATCGAAGCGATGACATGTTTGGGCGAAAAAGTCCCTGCGTCAGTCATTCAATTCATCCACGGCCACAGCCACGGCCACAGCCACGGCCATGGCCACAAGACTGATCTAGTGCCCCCCCGCATCCCGGCTTATCGGCTTCCACCGTCGCCCTTGCGCTGCCGTCGTCGAAATCTTGTTCCATCTCAGATGAGGTTGCTCCAGGGAAGAGGACCACCATCTCAAGTGTCGATTGATCTTGTGTGAAATGCAACGCTCGTTGAATGGAGATAAGAAAGGCGCATGGAGTCGTTACAACATTTGAGTTGATTGGGATCAGACTTAGCGTGCTGCTGGCTCGCTCTCGATCGCGCAAGAGCCAGTGAGTCTAGCTTTGCAAATCTACAAGGCTGGGGAACGCGGTCTGCTAGCTGTTCTAAGCCCTGATCGTTGCGAATAGCAGATAGCCCCGCTCTGTCGGCATGTCCTAGCCGTCAAGTGTATCGTATGGCAGGCTGCTATCTCGACTATATTCTCATCGTATAGTGATGCCCAGCGCTGTTCAAGACTGAGCAAATGAGGACTAGAGTGTCACTTGAAAGCCATCGAAAGTCGATTCTCTCGCGCGTGTCAGCTGTCTTTGACGGTGTTCGTCTTGCTTGCCTCTTTCTCTCCCTCTCTCCCTCTCTCCCCATTGGGCCTCTTCCCTGCCTGTCGGACATACAGAAAGTGTGTCAGATGGCTGATCATCGATAGCAAGTCATGCCCTACGTTTGGGTTAAGCTCCAACACAGATAGCAAAGGTTGCGACGCTGGAAAGGCAATGCGAAGACGGTCCATGAACTTGACCGAAAACGCAAAGTAGAGAACAAGGCTTTCTAAGCCCAGTTCAGGACTTGCGTTTCAACGCCAACGCATAATCATCTCGTCCCGCTCGCTCATCCAACTTGCTCTCCTTTCCCTCTTTCGCTGGTCATTGACCCTCAATCTTCACGCTCGTGCTCGCTCCAGTGGAACCCACTCACACACACCCACACACACTCAATCTCTCCCTTTTGGCGGCGGGGCGGGCAGAGCGGGTTCGAGATTAGACCTCTCTCTCCTCGTCTTTTCCATTCGAAATAGATCCGCGCTCATCCTCAACCTCGCCTCTCACCTCACGCTCACGCCCTTTTCGCATCGCATCATCCAGCCGCAACGGGTCCGCAGAAAAGACGCCTTTGTTGCAATCATAATTTACAATCGCAGCACAACATCGATCCGACGTGTCCTTGGCCTTGTCATCTCCTCACCCTTGCCTCGATTGCAAACCAATCCAACCTTGGTAATTTCCTTTCCTTTTGGTCCCTTTGCCACGCCGCCACGCCGCCACGCCGCCACGCACCCACCCACACAAACCAACCGGCCGGCCGGCCTCTCAAACAGACCCTAATCCGCATCTCTTTCCGCTCTTTTGTCTCGACGCTTTTCGCTCTGCATTATTCTCGTTCCGATCCTCAATCCTCGTTCAGCTCGTTCAGCTCGCTCAGCTCGCTCCCAAAAACACGTATAAAGAAGCGTCCTTCCCCTTGCGATCCCACCTTTCCTCCTTTTCCTCTCTACAACCATCCTCTCCAGCAAAACTCAGCGTAGGTACTCACACCATATTCATCTCCTCTTTCGACCTCGCTGTCTCAATCATGCTTTCAGCGCATTCAGATCGAACTGGCGTGGTCTCGTCGTATGATGGTGGTGGTTCAGATTGCTGACCTCTGGAATCTCGTTGCTTCTTTGTGATTGCCCCTCTTTACCCTTGTTTTGATGCCGGCTCTGGTATTGATGGTGTTGCTGCTTGACGATCGCTTGCTGCGCTTTTCTCCTTCGACCTCTGTCCCTGTTGGCGATCTGCTCTGTCTCTCCGACTCTCGGCGCGTTCTAATTTCCCTTGAATTTCCCGCACTGCTCTCGTGCCTCATCTTGACTTGGCCTCTGCATTTCGTGTTTGCTTTCACCATTTCCTCTGCTCTCGTGCCTCATTCCCCTTGATCTCAACACCTCTTCCTCACCCTTGATCCTCGGCTCATATCATCATTTCCGATGGTGTCGCTTGCTCCGCGCTGTTTCCTTTTTCGGATCCGAAATTTCTTTTCGCCTCCGCTTAATTGACCCTGCGCCGCGCTTATCCATCCGCTATGCTCCTTGTTGCGCCTTTTTCATCTTCTCCGCATCGCCATCACTTTTTCGCTCACAACCATCACCACCGCCACCACCACCGCCACCGTCACCTCACTTTCCTCGTCATCACTACCTCTCACCTCCGCTTGACTCGACCCGCACACATCACTTGGACTTTGAACTCAACAGAAAGATGGCTCGTACCAAGCAGACAGCCCGAAAGTCTACCGGTGGTAAGGCTCCCCGTAAGCAGCTCGCCACCAAGGCAGCCCGCAAATCCGCCCCCGCCGCCGGTGGTGTTAAGAAGCCTCACCGTTACAAACCTGGTACCGTCGCTCTTCGTGAGATTCGTCGTTACCAGAAGTCGACCGAGCTCCTCATCCGCAAGCTGCCCTTCCAGCGTCTTGTTCGCGAGATCGCTCAGGACTTTAAGACTGATCTCCGTTTCCAGTCTTCCGCCATTGGTGCTCTTCAGGAGGCCGCCGAGGTAAGTACTGAACCACCTCGCCACCTCGCCACCTCGCCACCTCGCCACCTCGCCTTCTTTTCTTTCTTTCGACTCAGCCACATTTGCGAACAAATGATTGACTTTCTCTCACCTTCTGTTCTATTCCTTGCTCGCTCTATTCTCTGCAGGCCTACCTCGTCTCGCTCTTCGAAGACACGAACTTGGCTGCCATTCACGCTAAGCGTGTCACCATCCAGCCCAAGGACATCGCCCTTGCCCGCCGTCTCCGCGGTGAGCGATCCTAATCTTGCTTGCTCCACTCTTAGCTCGTTGATGTCGTAAGCCCTCTCTTTGTTGTGCTGTACGCGTCTGTTGCGCTTCTTGTGAAGATGTACCATTACTCGATCCTCGTCGTGTCTCTTGTCGTTGTTTCTCTCTCGTACCTGTCTCTCTATTTCACATCTCGCTCTTGTAAGCTCGGTTCGTTATTGCACTACTTTTGCGAGTGTGGTAAAGGGCGTTGATGCTTTGCGAGCAACTTGTATACCTCTCTATTCCTAGTGCTTTCTTTAGGCAATTCGATAGTATTTCAACTCGAAAAACTCAGCCTTTGATAGTGTGTGGATCGCGATTGAGTGTTGTTGTCGTTGATCTTGTCACTGAGCTTTGGCGGAGGAAAGGAGAAAGAGCGTTGGAAATGGCGCAGTTGAGGCGAGAGGGAGCTCTGTTGGATGTGGAATGGCTAAAATTCATTCAAGTTGCCTCACTCGCTTGTGGCTGCAAGACACGCGGCAAAATTCTTTTGTCTGCGGGTTATCCTATTAATGTGCGGTGATTAATGATCTAACACAACAACAACACACACACACACACACACACACACGCAGGCACACACACACACGACAACTCGCTTGCAATTTTTCCTAGTTGAAATTAGCTACACCACTAGGAGACCACGGTCAGGCACTCCTTTAGTCTGATGCTCTATGTGAAAAGGCTTAAATTTTCGTAAGGTGGTGATGACTAAGCTAAGGGCATATATACATATTCTCGGCACCTGACTGTGCTCCCTATGTCGAGTCATGCCCATGTGCCATGTATCATCTCTCATAAGTGTTGTCATATCAACATGTCCCCTGCATACCATGGCATCAATCCTCGTGCATAGGCTGCGTTAGCTCCCACTAGCTTTGCATTCTGCTTGTCCTCCTCATCGCCTGATGCCTTCCCGATTCCCTGATCCTGTGAGCTACTATTTAATACATCACGCATTGGCGATGTCAGTGCATCTTCAACTCCCCCCCTCAATGGCATATCCAATCCTATCATTCTTGATATCCTTGTTGTGTTGAGTCCCTTGAGAGGTTTCGTGAGTATGTCAGCCACATTGTTGGCCATTCCGATGAACTCGATTGATATGTCACCGTCTTGCACATGATCCCTAACAAAGTAGTATCTGGTATCGATGTGTTTGAGTTTCCAGTGTTTGGCCGGATCTTTACTGACTTGTATGCACCCCTGGCTATCAGTGTGCAGCGTTGGCGTGACTCCGAATACTCCTAGATCCCTGAGTAAATACGAGAAGAAGAGTGCTTCTCTTGCTGCTTCGGAGGCTGCGACCAGTTCCGCTTCCACTGCCGATAGTGCCACGCACTTCTGTACGTGTGATTTCCAACTAACCGGACATCCATACACATATGTGATTGCTCCGGACGTACTCCTACGCCCATTTGTAGGGTCAGAAGCCCAATTTGCATCGGTATACATAACCACCGGTTGGTCTGCGTGACTCCTGTGCACTCCTCCTAAATTTAAGCGGTAATCGCTCATCTGGTTCAGGTACTTTAACAAGTGTATCGCAGCACTCCAAGCACTGTCGATCGGTTCTGACATATATCGTGCCAAAGCTCCTACTGCGAATGAGATGTCTGGCCTCACTGTGTTGGACACCCATAAAAGTTGCCCCACTAGCTCTTGATATCGTTTGGCCTGATCTGGGTTGCACTTGTTTCCTCCAGCGATTCCTGCTACACTCTGCATTGGTATCCAGGTTCGTTCACTTGTTCTTTCTAGCCACTTACTTACCATGCTTTTAATGTATGCGCTTAGATCGAGTGTGATCCTGCCTTGTCTCCTCTCTCGAGTGATTTTGATTCCTAGAAATTCTCCTACAGGTCCATTGTCCTCTGTTCCCCACTTGTCCATGATCTCAGCTTTGGTACGGTCGACCTCCCTTCTGCATGGCGATGCGATCAGCATGTCATCCACATATGCCGTAATGACTGTGAGTTGGTCGCCCGCTCCCCTTGAGTAAAGGCATGGGGCGCTCGGCATGCAGTGGAAGCCGATACTTCAGAGGTGGGTATCCAGCTCGATGTTCCATTCCCGACCTGATTGCTTTAGACCGTAGAGCCCTTTTATGAGTTTCAATACCTTTCCTGGAGGTACCCTGGTTCCTACCGGTGGCTTTAGGTAGACATCGTGACGCAGGCTTGAGTTGAGGTAAGCCTGTTTGACATCGATGGAATCGACCTCCCAGTCCCGTACGGCTGCGATGGCCAGCACTCCCCTTATTGCTTGGATGGGTGCTACTGGCGCAAATATTTCTGTGTAGTCCAGGCCCTCTCTCTGTGTAAACCCTCGCGCTACCAATCTTGCTTTGTACTTTGTGGGGACCAGGTTTGCATCAGTCTTGATCTTGAGCACCCATCGTGTGTCGACTGTGTTCATGCCCCACGGTAGGTCAGTCGTTTCCCATGTTCCCATCGCTTCAAGCCCATTCAATTCCTTGCGCATTGCTTCTTCCCAGAACCTCCTATCCTTTCTGGCCAGCGCCTCATGAACAGTTGGGTTCAGGCTGTCCTTTCCTTCCTTGACCTTGGCTGCCATCAACCCGAAGTAACTCTTCTTTACCCAGGTCTCTGGATTGCACATGTTTCTAGCTGGCCTCCAGTTCGGCCATGGGCCTCTCTTCTTGGGTGGCATCAGTGCATACTCTTCCCTCTCCTTCGTCGTTCTCCTTTCCTCTGGTATCCCGTTAGGGTTCTCATCATCACAGTGTGGTCCTCCGAGTCCCTCCTCTTCGAGGGTTAGTTCCATGGCCACGTACTCCTCCAAAGGCTCTTGCTCTCTCTCATCAAATAGGTTCTCCTCTGTGTACCCCAGATCATTGAGGTCCTCTTCAATAGTTGGGACTGGTGGAGGTCGGATACTTATTGGTCGCCATTCTGATCGGTCTGACCAACACTGTGTCTCCATGAACCTTGCCGAGTTGCTCCAGAAAATGTTCGGAGAGTAATCAGGGCTATAGAATAGCCATCCCTTTCTTTCCAAGCTGTACCCTATGAATATGGCTGCAACTGCTCGCTGGTCCAGCTTCTTGTTGTTTCGCTTAGCTTTTGGAATATTTACCCAAGCTAGGCATCCAAATACACACATGAGGTGGATGAATCGTTTTGGTGATCTCTTGAACATGAGCTGATATGGAAACTCTCCGTCAACGTTGGGAGTAAGGTTGATCTTGAATGCCGCCGCTCGTATGGCGTGCGGCCAAAATCTCTTTGATTAGTTTATGGGCATCAGCATGAAACATCTTTGTCTCATTGAGCTCGGCAAGTAATGCTATCCATCGCGAGGTTCTAGCTGCCTCGCTGGTAAGACTCTTTTCGATCTTCTTCCAAGCTTGATGGCAGGTCAGGTGGTTCTTGCTGATGTCGAGTAGGAGGTAAAGGACGTTGTACTCTCCTTCGGTGTCTAAGGTGCTTCGTAGGACACCCACTAGGGCGTTGTCAAAAGTTCTGTTCCATTTCGGGTGGTTTCTATCGTACGTGCCCTCTAAGTGTCATGTGGCATGAGGGACTACTCGGAGGTTGGCCTTGATGAGTGTGCTCCAACTATAGTAGTTGCGTGACGTGAGCTTGGGAACCGTCTCCAAGATTTTGGCCAAGGTGTGGTAATCGTATCGGTCATCATCATCGTCCGATTCTGATCCTCCTTCATCCTCATTGTCAAAATACTCGGTTTCGTTACCGTCAGTGACCTCTTCGTCAATTTGTACTCGTTGTGGCGTTTTACCTTTTCTTGTCCTCTTGGCTGCTTCACCCGTGCTGGCTTGGTGGTCGTTATCTCCCGCCATATTTGAATGTCGTGGGTTCGAGCCCCATGTTGGGAGCCAGTTGAAATTAGCTACACCACTAGGAGACCACGGTCAGGCACTCCTTTAGTCTGATGCTCTATGTGAAAAGGCTTAAATTTTCGTAAGGTGGTGACAACTAAGCTAAGGGCATATATACATATTCTCAGCACCTGACTGTGCTCCCTATGTCAAGTCATGCCCATGTGCCACGTATCATCTCTCATAAGTGTTGTCATATCAACATGTCCCCTGCATACCATGGTGTCAATCCTCGTGCATAGGCTGCGTTAGCTCCCACTAGCTTCGCATTCTGCTTGTCCTCCTCATCGCCTGATGCCTTCCCGATTCCCCAATCCTGTGAGCTACTATTTAATACATCACGCGTTGGCGATGTCGGTGCATCTTCAACTTTCCTCCTTCGCACGCACGAACCACCACTACTACCGAAATCCAATCCTTCTTCCTCTTCTTCTTCCATCCTCCCCTCCCATCTCTTCCATCCCCCTTCCCTCGCTTTCATCAAGATGGGAATATTCAACGCCCTAGTCTCCGGCACCTTTCTTTCCTTCTCTCGTCGTCGCAGCAATCGCGAAACAGACTACGAAACCGTCCTGTCTCGACTCGAAACCGAAATCCAAACCGTACAATCCCGTCTCACTCAAATCCGACTTCGAGAACGACGTGCATCAGTCACTCTAACCCTCCAAGCATTCCTCCTTTGGGCTATCTACACCTTTGCTTGTTGGTTTTTCGGTTTACTTTCCCTGCAACGACCTCATCATTTGGATGTAGGAGGAGGAGCGGGGAAGAAGGGATGGGCTGGAACAAGAACATATCTAGTTTGGACCCCAGTCCTAGGCAGTCCAGTGCTGATTATTTCAACAAGGAGAATTGTTAGGTGGTGGTATAGGAGGATTGGAGCGGCAGAAGAGAAACATTTGATCGATTTAAGAAGACAAAAGAGAGAAAAAATCGATGAGATTAAGAAAGCTACCAAGTATGATCACCTTCGAATGCTACTGGATAAGTATGATGAAGCTTCACCTGTCAAAGCGGAGCTTTCCACACCCATGAAAGGAAAACCTAACTCCAAAAATGTCACTCCGACAAAGTCTCCCAACAACGCCTCTCCTCAACAACAGCAACCACAACATCAACAGCAACAACAACAACAGAGAATTGCAGGTTCGGCTACACCAGAAACCGCAGCAAATCTCCAAGCACAAAAGATGGCTTCCATGCGTCAACAACCGCCCACAGCCTCAATCCCCGTACTACGGATGCAGAAAACATGGACAGACAAACTGGCAGATGCAATTCTCGGTTCAGATCCTTCTGTCGTAGGTCCCGAACAGAAATACGCTTTGATCTGCAATCGTTGTTTGCGCCACAACGGACTGGCGTTGAAGGAGGAGTTTAATGAGGTGCAGTATGTTTGTCCTCATTGTGGAAATTTTAACTCTCGCCGACCAAGTTCAGCGCCCGTTAGCTCGCCTTTTAATAACAATACTGGTAGTAGTGTGGGCGGAGGAGTGTTGGAGACCCCGAGTAAACCAGGAAAGAAAGCGAGTGGAGGGAGTAAGTTGAAATTGAGTACTGATGCAAGTAGCGATGAGGAAGCGGAAGATGAGCCTCCGAAGACGACGTTGCAGGAAGAACAGCAGACTGGCAAGATGCATGAATCGCCAAGAGATGCTAAATCCAACTCGCTGCCGCCTAGCAAGTCGGCGAGTGGGAAGACAGAGAGGATGGATTTGCATGATGACTAGAAGCATCAATTCCTTGTCTTGCTCAACAGAACCTCTCCTTCTCCTTGGCATTCTTCTCACTCACTACCATACATTCCACAACCACGGCAAATCACATACCCGGTTGCATACTCTGCACCCAACATGCTCGCCAATCTCCAAATTCCTTTCACCACAACAAAGCCACTCAGAGACAAGAATCAACTGGATTGCAAATACTACCTCTATTCCAATGGCAATCCAGTGTCCTATCAGAATAAAATCATCCATATAAGAGAGACTGCAAAGCTGTGTTTCCTTTACCCCGCCTATCGCCGCCTAAGCTCTGACTTCCCCCCCCCCCCCCCCCCCCCCTTCTTCCACCTTTTTACCTTGCTCTCATTGGCTGAGTCATCTCACCGTAAGACGATGAATGGCATCTCTTCAGCTGTCGAATACCCTTGACAACAGTAAAAGATGGTCGACCACGGCTGAACCTCGAATCAGCAAAAAAATGCATAACCACTGCAACACACAGGTGTTAAACCGAGTCCAGTCAAAAAAAAAAAAAAAAAAAAAAAAATTAAAAAAAGGGAATAAAAAAACAGTTGTTCCCGGCCGGGGAATCGAACCCCGATCTCAGCAGCTCACAGCCTGACATCTGGTTGGAGACAGGAAAGTGAAAGTGCCGTATACTCACCGTTGTACTAACTGGGACTTTATAATAGACTTAAAGACAATGAACTTATATATAGCTAATTCATATCACGGTGATGGAGCGTTGAAGTTGCGGTGTGGCGACGATACCTGGCACCAAATCTACTTCTGTCAGCCTGTCCCTCAACAAGCGGAGAGAATTGTTTTTAGCTCTGCATGTGTGATTACGGTTCTGTTTCCCTGTGAGTGCAGAGAAGTGCGACGGCACATCAAGTGAGAGTGTGCTCGAGGAGAGTTGTGGCGCCATTGGCAAGAGGCGATGTTCGACAGTCAGAATGTTGTCATGGTGGTCTTTGTGCTTCGTCTCAATTTCTCCTGGTTCCAATCTGGCATTTCTCAAGCAAGCAATGAATGTCACGAGAAAAAGTCCAGGATGCTGCTCCTTGCAACGATAAAGCGTCTCCAGTGTCGTAGCGGAAGGAAATCAACAAGATGCCACTCCATAAGACTCAAGTTACCAAAGCTAGTGAAACAGCAGCTACGGTATCTAGTCCATCTCTCAGTGGAAGCGAAACTGTCATCAAGTGAAGCATCACCACGGAACAACTCGAGTGAATGGCAACATAAAGCCAGGTTTTGTCGGCAAACCATGACCATCTCTCGCTCGCTTCGTGTTGGAGCTGACCTTACTCACTTTGACATCCGCTTCGTGCCAGCCTGGACTTGACCAAGGTTTTTGTCATCACTTCTAGATGTGCTGTGCTCACTTGATTCGGATCGAGTGTGCTGGAAGCAATGAATTCGAGCATGACTCTACTCACAGATACACTTGCTCTCGGCAAGAACTCTTGCCAGTCCGCAACCTGAACGCACGCATGGCACACAACACATCCTTTCCATCAAGTCACGAGAAGCAACCAAGTTCCGACTGGACTTGAGCGCTCTTGGTCGAACTCTTGGTCGAAGAGCTTGTTCGAAAGCAAAAGATTCGAAACGGACACTAGGCTCGGTCAAATAAGACCAATCCTAAGCGTACCAACCTGACCACTCATTCTCCAACTATCGATGCACAAATGCACACGACTGATTCCCCCCACAAGAAAAGGATGCTATATTTGCTGTGTAAACACGAGCCGACAAAACGAGAAAGCCAAAGTCTACTCATCATGACCATGCTCCAAATGACCTTGCTTAGAGTTATAATAAGCGTTCTTACTCTTTGCCCAAGCAATAAGGCCGTATCCTATCGAAACCCCAACCCAAAAAAAACCGATGTCAGTACATCTCCTTACCCTCACTGCACTCCCAATCTCATTCTAATCTCCCTTCAGAAAAGAGATGTCGAACTTACCTGCAGCGAAAGGAATAGCAAAGTAAGGAGCCTGCTGCATGATCCTCTTGAATCCATAGAAGAGGTAAGAGTGAAGAGCACCTTTCATCGCGTTCTGCTGGAACGGAGAGACCGAGTACTGAATGATACCCTTTTGAGTTGGACCGCCCATGTCTCCCCACCATCCCATCTTCGTCGTCAAAGAAACGAGTGTGAAACGAGGCAATGCGTTTTATAGAAGTGTCAAGGCGATTGTTGGCACCGATGGGTCAAGTGTCGATCGTGGTGAAGGGTCAAGTGATGGGAGTGTCAAGTGCATGTCCAAGGATGGGAATGCGGTTATTGATACACATATATACACATGCGTTCGATGCGATGCGATCAATCCAAGACCATAATAAGACAACGACGTAGAGTTGATGTTCGAGTAACAACCGCAGACGAGATAGGAAGACCCCCCAAAAAAAAAAAAAAAACAACCAAACTACTATCAGCAAACTATACCATCGACTACATTATCACAAAAGCATCGCAACACTAATCCTCCCATCCATGCTTTACTAACTCTCACACCACACATCTCTGCATTGACTTCAAAATGGACGTCGTCCTCCGTCCTTCGTCCTTCGTCCGTCTTCCGTCGCCAATCGACTGAATCTACCACGATTACCAACCCTCCCACACCTCCTATTCTTCTCCATGATTAATAGCAACTCCCTATGGAAGACTTACATATTTCTTACCCGTAGGCATACCCGAGAACGTTGCCTGAGAAGTCCTCATCCTTGCCAGATCCGACAGAAGTGTAGAGAAAGATGATGTGTAGAGAAAGATGATGTGTAGAGAAAGATGATGTGTATAGAAAGATGATGTGTAAGATGCAGTAACAAAGGCAAAGCTGATGGCGACGAGCATCTTTCAACTCGCTAACGATCGCCTTCTTCGTACCAAATTCTGTTTCGCACGAGAGAGTCAACTTTCTAGAAATCCAACTCCCACCAGCTGGACCAATCCGAATCTCAGCATTGCCACTGAAAAATTTCTAATCGACACGTACGAAAAACCGAATTTCCTCTTGTGTTACGTCAGCAGAAACGCACATCTCCAGTTTCGCCAGCTCACTCTTCCTTTCCACACACGCACAAAGCCGAGAAAGAAGAGAGAGAGAAAAAAAAAAAGAAAAAAAAAAAGAAAAAAAAAAAGAAAAAAAAAAAGCAAGATTGCATGCGTAATATATGAAAGGTATGATGATATACAAAGAATACGAATCAACATCGAGACAACACCGATAGAAACACCTCAACCCTTGATACTCGAACTAGAAGGTGAGACAGATCCACTGCTCGATTCTTTATCCGTGTGCAATCGGACGCAGAACACCGTAGTATCGCCGATGAACACAATCTGGTTCCTGCTGGCAGCTACAGACTCCCATACTGGGTTGCGTTGCACCGCTGCAGGAGGTCTGGGCGTAGAAGCCTGTCCGAAAGCGTATGGCATCTGCGGCCTTGCTGCTGCGACCGCTGCAGGAGGTGGGAATGGCCTCCCTGCTGCTGCGGCGGGGTGAACCATCGGCGGCGCACCTGGTACACCTGGCACACCAGGGAAAGCACCTGGAGCAGGCCTTGCCATCGGTGGACCACCTGGTCGCATCCCAACCCCAAAGCCTGGCGTGCCAGGAGGTGGCACCATAGCCCCATTTGGACCGAACGCAGGCCTTGCTCCTGGGAAAGGCGCCATTGGTGGTCCCATTCCGTTTTGCAGAGGTGGAGGTACCATTGGCCTTGCTCCATATGGACCCATGATCGCTGCTGCTGCATTGAACGAGTTAGCTCGCATCGCTGCCACTGCTTGCGCGTTCTGCTGGTGCACGCTCGGCGTCGGTGGTGGTACATCGGCAAACAAGCATCGCAGGTTAACACCGGTAATGACCTGATGCAGTGCACCTGTCTCCACATGTCGCACCTCGACGAAGCTCGGCTCGAAGGCGAGGACGTATGGATGATGGTAGGCGAAAGAAGTCGGGTTCCCTTCCCAGTGAATGATCCAGTTGCCCTTAGCACGCCAACCGTTCTTGTTGACATAGAACGCAAACTCGTCATAGCACAACAGGAATTCGCCTGAAATGCGGTAGATCGCGATGGGCTTGACGTTCTCCCGTCGATGGACAAAGTCGAGTGATGTATCGGCGGGATCGAGCAGGCCCTGTGTGTCGAGCGTCTCGAGATCAACAATTTCGAAACCTTTGGTGCAACCAACGCAGAGCTTGGTCTTGAGGAAGTGGATCGAGCTCGACTCGGTGGGGATGTAGAACTCCTTGAAGACACGCAGAGAGTCCTGTCCACCTTGCAAGAGCTTCTTGAACGTTGGCTGCTTTTTGCCTCGAACGTTCTGCTCGATCGGTTCCAATGTCTTGATCGTCGAAGAGAGCGAACTCGACTTGACCACGCAGACCAATGTGCGTCCTAGACAGATACCGGCACGGAAGAAGGATGTATGCGAAGAGATGCGGCGACCGCGCTTCAACGAGCCCATCGGATCAGAAGGGTCCAAAGCATCGAGCGTGAAAGTGTGCACCGATTTCTCTGCGAGCACGATGAGGATCTGGTACTCTTCCAACACATCCACCTGCGTGACACCCGGCAATGGCAGAACTTTCGTCGGCGGTCTTGCCTTTTCGCGCAGATCTGACAGATAGACACCGTCGTCAGTGCCATAGATGATGCGGCGACCAAAGTCGAACGGCACCGAGCAGTTGACACGATTGGGTCCCAAGAAGAAGTTCTCGGAAAGCGTGATGGTATCAAAGATGTTGCTGCGCTGTCGAAGGATCTCCTGTCGCGACTCAATGTTCTCGAACCACTTTTTGCGGCTGACGAACGTGCTTGCCCATAGCGTCATCGAGTAACCCTTCTTGCCGAGGTAGGCAAAGGTGAGTGCGTAGCCAGTCTTGGCGTCCTGCTTGGGTGCTGTTCCCGGCGTGCCGCTGTAGCGCGTTCCTGTCGAAGTGCGCGACATGACCGACTTGGGCCGTGTGGAGCTTCCCTTGCCTGTTGGAACTTCGTCGTAGACCGTGACGATGAGCAGCTCGAGCGGGATCGGCTTGCGGTAGACCTTGTAGAGCTCGTGCTTGTTGACCATCTTCGGCTTCACCATCAGCAACGCATGATCGAAGAGGAACACCTGAAGCTCCGCGCTCTCGCTTTGGGTTCCACCGCGCTTCTTGAGCGGGCCTTTGAAGACGAGCTCTCTCTGTTCGTCTCGCAGACGCAGATCGACAGCTTCGCCTTGCTTGAACACCAGCTGCTGATCGAGCTGAGCGAGAGTGAAACGATTCTCGCTCTTACCCGTCTCTACATTGACTTTGGTGAGGAATTCTTTGACAATCTTGATCACCTTGGCGACCGTCTGCTTGTCTGGGTGATCTTCCGGGGTATACTTGTTCACCTGCTCAAGCAGCAAGGGGTATCGTGCAAGTCGCGTCGTGGGTTTGGTCAAATAGCCGTTGAGCTCAAGCTTGCGTGATTGCGGAAGACGCTCTGTCTCATCGACGAACTTGGTAAAGGCTGGATTGGACGACTTTTCCTTCTCGAACTCGTACTTTCCGTACAGTTGATGAGCACCGTACTTGACGAAGGGCTGGAAGTGAGGTACCATCTCGAGCAAGATGTCACCGATTCTGTCGACTATATCTGCCTGCTTCTGTCGTTTGGTGAGCATTTCGGCCAGCCTGGCGTTGACAGCGTGGATCTCGAGAACGTTCCAGAAAACCTGGGTGACAAAGTCCTCGCGGTGATCTTCAGGGATGATGTCAGAAGTGCGCAGCGGCTTGACCCACCGATCCCGCAAGTACTCCATGTCGGCTACAAAGTCGCGTTCAGTGTAGATAACCTCATTGATGGCTTCCTGTCGCTTGCGCTCGGTGTCGTCGAGGCTGTCAAACACTTCTTTGGATACCGACTCGGCCCAAAGGGCGCCTGTCTCGGTGGTGTCGTTGAGCGACTCCCTGCTGACGCTGCGTTGGAGAACAGGCTGTGGCTTCATATTGAGGCGAGCTTGCTGCTCCAGACGCCTGGGACAGGCGATACTGTAGCAGAGACGATCGCGCGAACAGGTGGGCGAGTAGCAGTCTGTGAGCAGTGTGAAGACACCCGTTGGCAAAGCGTCATCATCGTCGTCGTCTGCAATGGTAGAGCCGGCGGACTGGATGCCGTTGTAGATCGAAGTTGCCGGTGTTGTTGCCGCTGGCGAGCGAGTTGTAGAAGCAGGCTGCCTGCTGGAAGTCATTGAAGAGACGGACGAGTTCGGAGCGAGACTCGTCGCTGAATTGCCTCGGCTGGGAGCGGGAAGAGCGGAATTGCTACGATCATCGTCAAAGGCGCCTTCGACGCCAAAGCCAGATGTCGGCAGGCGCACTTTGAACTGATAGATCTCGGAAGGCGAGTCACGCAAACGGTGGTCGTAGGTGACATCGTGGAAAAACTTTTGCGCATCGAGGGCACGGCCAAGGAGCAACGCCAGGTTGCGATCCGTGGTCTTGATGATATAGGCAATCTTGTCCACAGCTTCGCGGCCATTGAAAGCATCACTGTAGGTAAGACCGTCCTTTGTGCGCTCGGAGAGAGCGACACGGGCTCTGAAGGCTTCTGCTACCTTAGAAAGCAAGGCGGGATAGACGAGCGGACCGCGTCGACTGGAAGGTATGGATTGCGGACGTCCGCCTGTAATGCTGCCTGGAGGAGATGCTGGTCCAGAGAAGGAGGGTCGCGAAGCGCTTTGTCCGAAGGAGAGCGAGCGATAGTCGCCTCTCCCGATGGTGGTTGCTTCGCTAGGCTCGTCCCATCGCGGCGTGTGACCGGCTTGCTGGTTGGCAAAGCTGGGTGCATAGGCGGCCTGTGCGGCTTGTGTCGCCGAAGAAGCAGTGCGAGCGCGTGGTGGACGATCCCATGGACCGGCTGGAGCAATACCGGATGTGGAAGGCATCGACATATTGTAGGATGTCATGGTGCCCAGAGCAGCACCTCCAGCAAAGGAGCCACTAGCGTTAGGAGGCAATGTGGTTGTTGAGCCGTAAAAGGCTCGCGATGTGTTCTGCGCGCCAGGAAGAGTGTAGATGGAGTTGGCTATGGACTGGCGATCCGACTCGATAGAGCCTCTTCTACGTCCATCGCCGCCATAGATAGAGGAAGCAGGCGAGCGAGTGCTCAGCAGGCCCTCAAAGAAAGCGTTCGAGTAGACTTGTTGATCTTGTGACGCGGTTTGCTGCACTTGGTCGTGACCTGTGTTGGCGGCATCTACCGATGTTGTACCGTATCCGTATCCGTTGCCGTATCCGTTGCCGTTGCCGTTGCCGTTGCCGTTGCCGTTGCCGTTGCCGTTGCCATTGCCGTTGCCATTGCCATTGCCATTGCCATTGCCATTGAAGTTTCCATTGGCATCAATTCGAGGTGAGGCGGCATTGGACGATGTGATGGCGGGCTGAGCGGCCTGTCCTTGCGAGCCAAAGCTGCCGAGTTTGCTACTTGCGACCGACATGGGACTGGTGGGAGTGCGACGATTATCAGGTTCGCCGAACCAGAAGTTGCTCTGCTCTTCTGGCTTGCTGCCTTCGATACTTGGCAACCTAGGTGGCCTATCACTGTTGTCGAGGGTTACCTGATCGAGACTGTAGGCAAGATCGGCACCGAAACCATCGCTTCGCGGGTGGAGGGACGAGTCCGAGACGACCGAGGCGCGTGGTGAAGCAGCGTTGGGGTTAGGATAGCCTGACTGTGCGTGCGCTTGTTGTGAGAATGCTGCGTTGTTGCTGTTACTGTTGCTGTTACTGCCGTTGGCGGTACCAGCAGCGTTGGTCTGTTGACTGAGGTAATGGCTGGCGTACGCACTGGCGGGCGTTGTTGATGTAGGTGGGCCGCGATATGCATCAACAGCGCTGCCTGTGAGGCCGTTGTATTGCGAGTAGCCAGAGATGGACGTTCTAGGATCAGAGCTGGCGATGGATGGGACGGTGCTGATCCTTGGATCTGCATGCGGGTCGTAGGGTAGGCTGAGATCGGATGCTGAGGGATAGGGTGCAGCGGCAGAAGGATAATAGGGTGAGGCTGCCGCTTGGGTAGGTGCATTGGCGGACGTCAGCATGGATGGGTCCATGTAGACGTTGGGTGGGTAAGGTGCTTGGGGATAGGGCGCCTGAGGACGAACAGCGTTCCATCGCTGATTGACGGCATACGAGTTGGGTGCGCCGCGAAAGGTGCCAGGATTAGGCGGCTGAGTGAAGAGCTGTGGTTGTGGACCTTTTGGCTTTGCTGTTGGACGACCAAAGATGTTTTCGTAGGCTGTTGTCCTCTTGTCAAGAGGGACGCCGGGACCTGCTCCAGCACCTGGCGGCATGTTGTGGCTCGATTTGACAGAGCTCGAGAGCGGCGGACCGGTGTTGGGGTGAAGCGTGCAACCAAAAGCGAGAATCGGTCAAGTTGGGCGCGATGGATAGTCGTGATGACGAAAGTGTTGTCGGGTCGAGCTCCACGGTCGCTAGCGGATAAGAGAAAAGCGTGTGATGAGCCTAGGAGAGACAGTGGGAGTAGCAGCAAAGATGTGTTGGTGGGAAAAAAAGAAAAGGTCGTCAGAATGAGTTAGGTGAGGTTGGGTGGGAGGTTGCTGCGATTGCTGCGACAAAGTGTAGAGATTGGCAAAAAGGAAAGTTCATGAGCGTGGCCGCTTCATGGGTGAAGGAGGACAGAGTCGTAAAGCAGTCACTCGGGATGTTGAGGCTGGAGGATGGTGCAGATCAGACAACTAGTGTGTGATCAGGACAGCATGGAACCTGGCGAGCAGCTGAAATGTGCGTGGGGTTGCTTTGCTGTTGCTTTGCTGTTGAGACGGCTGTCTCTGGGACTGATCTTTCGAAGCGTCAACAAAGGCGCCTGACCTTGCGATGCTGTGATCTCGGTGTGCTCTGATGGGTGTGGAAGAGAAAGTGGGAGGCAAGTCGGTGCTGTGAAGCGAGAACACCGGTCGAGGTAAAGCGGCGATGCACAGCCGAGAACAAGGTCGAGGCCAGGACGACCTATTGAAGAAGGTTGGAGTGGATGAATAGGTCTTTGGATGGTTGATAGCTGGTGATGATGATGATGGCTGATGATGATGATGATGATGATGATGGATAGGAGGATGGTTGGCCTTCAGTTTGTGTGCGACTCGCAATTCCATTCTATTCAATCGACCGACGGTCGAGGAACTCCGAAACCGCCGCCGTGCTGAGTCGAATTAGTGCCGAGTTGGCGCTCACAGTGCAGCTCACACACAGGAATTACAACACAGGAATTACAACACAGGATTACAACCAAGACACATGATTACAACGCTAGAATAATTATCACAGAGTACAATACAGAATTACAACTACAATACAGAATTACAACTACAACACAGAATTACAACTACAATACAGAATTACAACTACAACACAGAATTACAACTACAACACAGAATTACAACTACAATACAGAATTACAACTACAATACAGAATTACAACACAGGAATTGCGGCTCTTTGCTGCCGTGTGTGCAATTAGTAGTGTGATTAATCCATTTCGCTACAACGCGAGGCCAAAAGCTTCCCCTTTTTCAGGTTTCCAATCATTATTATTACTGAGAAGATGTTAGATCGACACTTCCTTTCCATCTAGAAATAAATGAATAAAAAACACGGCGAAAAAGGCCGAATTATCTCCGCTTTTCTTCTTTCGGTTTTCGCAGAACTGTCTCGTCACACGGCTTTGGCCGAGCGGGAAATTTCGGAAGGATCAAGGAAAACTGACACAAGCCTTGAACCGATTCGGTCTCTCTCTCTCTCTCTCTCTCTCTCTCTCTCTCTCTCTCTCTCTCTCTTCTTCATCCATCTCCAAGTCCTTGCATGGAAACAGCAAGAATAGCTAACTGTCCATATAGTCTCAACCTCAACAGGCAGCTTTAGCAACCTCGAAGATCTCCTTGGTCAACCATCAAAACAAGCATACCGTAGCCATGTCTTACAGAACACATCGAGATGTCGGAGACGTTGAGCGACGAGAAGCGTAGTTATCACCTCCAGACCCTAGATGAATTGTGTCTGATCAGCTGCTCACCATCGATCTCCTTTTCTGTTTGATTCTGTTGAGCTCTATAGTCAATACAACGCTTCAATCTCGGCGGCAACGGTGGGGTTTGGTAAAGGTCTTGCCTTGTCAGCACCAACCGCCTACCTCCTCAACCGATCCTGGCCTGCATTCCGCAACCTCACTCCGGCTATCAAGGTCTTCTTCGTCTCCTCCATCGCCATCGGATCAGGTGTTATCGCAGCCGACAAAGCAGGTATCGCCTTCGATCAGGCCCACTACACCGACGCTGGTGCCGCCGTTCAACGTAGATACCAATCCCGAGAAGAACGACAATGGTCCGAACTCTCCTCTCGCGATAAGGCACTCACGTGGGCCAAGGAGAACAAGTTCGCCGTCGTCGCTGCCACTTGGGCTACTAGCATGGGTGGTATCTTTGCCTACATTCACACACAACCCATGAGCTTTGCCCAAAAGCTGGTTCAAGCACGTGTATGGGCTCAGGGGATCACATTGGCCAGTTTGGTAGGAATGGCTGCCATCACACAGATTCCAAGTGCAGGCGATAAAATCATCAAGCAGCACAAGGAGGCTGCCGACCACAGCTGGAGAGAGTTTATTCCTAAAGAGCCAGCTAAGGACACTGTCTCTTCTCAGTAACGAGGCCATGAAATCTTGCTTCATCTCTCTCTCTCTCTCTTCATCAGCAAACTTGTTTTCTAATCGCAATGTCTCATCTGCTTTGTTCTACACCGAGTCTGTCAAGCTGAATGTCTGCCATACTTTGAGAGGCTCGGAGAGCAAAGGGTCAGCTTTGGTGCCTTTGTCAAAGGCTGACACACAGGCCACAAGAACAAGAGGCTTGTGGCATGTGCTTTTGCAGTGATGCAATGGAAAGCGCATTTCTTCGTTAGGCGAGGTGGAGGTTTTTTTTTTTTTTTTTCATCTCCCGCCTTCGCCGAACATTTGTTAGATCGTATGGAACTTGCTCGGATCTCGGAACTTTCTCGGATCTCGGATCTCGGATCTTGCCCGGATCTCGGAACTGGAGAAGAACGCTGGTGTGTGCCTCTCTTTGCCAGGTCAAACGCTTTCGTCTATACTTGTCACTCGCATCGCTGCCCGTTGGCAGATCAGGTCGCTATCATGGCCACAACCAAGGCTGCTTCGGGCAGCAAAAACCCTATCCTACCACCAGAGGATCTTTCCTCTATTCTCTCCTCCATCGAGCTTCTTTCTGCAATGTGGTCTGGTACAGACGAGCTTTGGCTTTCCCCCGCCGACCAAGTCACGATTGGACTTCTGGCAGATTATATTCAACTTCCCATAGAGGAGCTCGGCTCAGACAAAGCACATAAGGTCAAGGACTCGATTGGTGAACAAGTTGTGTTGGCATTGAAAGTTAGAGCTGATCCACAAGAGACGGCGAGGGAGGTAAGTGTCAATGTCGAATTCACGTTGAGACGGAATGGAGCGAAAGGGAAACGTGTGCGCATGTGGGTCAGCGCAAAAGATGCTCCAACCTGGCTGGATAGAGCGCGTGTTGATCAAGTGAATGCCATACTTGGCCAAGTCGGGAGCGCGCAAGGAGAGGATGAGGACGAGGAGAAGACGGTCGGAAAGATCTTAAACGCCATCGAGAATGTCTCAGAATACTTGCTCTCCGTTCCTGTCGCTGCCTATGATGGCAACACGAGGACATCAGAAAACACACAGAACCCATCAACCAACGTCTGTGCCTCCCAAGCAACCAATGTCTACAGAACATGGTACTACCTACCATCATTAAGAACCAAATGCAAGAGACAAGAGATTTGCAACCTCGCTCTGGCATCCACTCCGCCCCTAAGCGGATTCCTACTTTCGGGCAAGCCAGGACTAATAGTGATGGAATATCCTCTTCCCTCAAACTGTCCACCTTGCGCCTCAACACTGCAAACGGCGAGCTTAGCGATGCACTCGTTCTGGTCAACAATCAAAACCACTAGTTGGTCCGACCTTCCAGCATCACACAAAAAGATCTCTGAAAAGTTCACCGAACCGAACGCTACAAAAGCTTTCAGCGGATTCCAAGATATCACCGATTGGCCAGAGGTCCAAAGAGGAGCAGAAAGGGGAAGCAAAAGCGATCTGAGTAAATTGATCAAATGGTTGGATGGCAAAGGTGTTCAAGGCAAATACCTCATCGAACGTTGTCTTGGTGTCGCAAGCTGGCAAACGTAAACCTTTCTCCATCAGAGGCAAATAATAAACAAGATGCAAACCGTCGCAATCTTGAATGTGGGCCGAGAATGTGTCATCCACAAAACCAAGTGTGAGCTATATGTAGAGTAGGTGCGTGGCTGAGCGATAAAGACGAATGTGGGTGGGGGGGGGAAGAAGCTTAGTTCTTGCCGCCACCAACGTTCTGATCTTCACCTCCTTCACCAGCCTCTTCAGCCATGGAGAAGTAAGCCCACTGTCCTGGCGCAGGAGGATGATCGAGTGGCTGCCATCTTTGTTTGAAAGCAAGGATAGGGGAAGGGAATTAAGAGAGCTGGCAGTCAGTAAACTGCTTCGATACTTGTGGCTGAAGATAATTGATAGAAGAACTGGTGCTTGTTTGGGTACATACGCCTTCCAGTCAACCATTTTAGCAGCCAGTCTGTATTCCGCGAGAGCTTGTTCGAGGAGCTGTTCTAATTGACCTGCGTCCAACTGTTTCTCAGCATTCTCGTAGACCTGTTCGAGTTGTTCTGCGTTGTTCTTTACTGCCTCGGCTTCTTCTGCTGCCTTGCTGACCATGTCGAGTCTCTGCTGGGTGAGTGCCGATGTAGCTTGACGGTAGACAGAACATTCAGGAAGAGTGGCGAGAAGCGAGAGAGTCTTGCTGTATCGAGACTCGAGTTCGGCAAGAGGGCAAGTAGAAACATCAAGACCGGTGATGTTGGTAGACTTTTTCAATCGTGCTACAAAGCTGGCCGAAGAGGGTGCGTGAGAGGGAGATGGCGTAGCTGCCAGGCGGCGAAGCGAGCGAGTCATGAGGTTGGTGCGACTGGAGAACATGGTGTCAAGCTTAGCCCTATCTGAGGGTGGTGGTTGCGATCAAGAGCGAATGAGAACGAGTGATAAGATGGTGGACAAGTAGCGAGACAAGGTAGCATTACTCTACCAATCCCAAGCTTTTCTCAGCTGCTGCTCTGTTAGTCTCGGATCCGTGATGTGGCTGCCAATTCGTGATCCTATTTTTCGAAGCCCAAATATGTGCGTAATCATAATCTAACATCTCGCATAATCGCTCGCAAGGAACATCTCGCTCCCTGTGCTCCTATCTTGTAGGCTCTGTGTACCTAGCCAATCTCCACACAACTTCAAGAGGCGCAATCGATACTGAACAACTGCGTTGAAGGACAATACAGAGAACTAGAGTATATACAAAATGTCTTGATACAACAGCGGATTCGAACAGGCGGGCTTAAATGGCAAAAGTAAGAGATGTGCAAGAGCTATGTACACTTGGCTATGCAGTCCGGGCGAGGCATGATCAGCTTTAGCTTGGATTTGAGGCGATTGCTTAGAAGTCTCCGCCGCCCATGTCGTCTCCTCCACCAAAGTCATCGCCGGCACCATCTTGGTAACCGTCTTGATATGAGTCGTTCATGCCATCTGCAATGAGAGCACCACCGAGCATACCGGCACCGAGACCAAGGGCTGCACCGCCGGCCATACCCATACCACCACCGCCTCCGCGACCGAAGCGACTACCGCCCATACCGCCTCCCATACCGCCGAATCGGCCACCCTGGGCCATCATGGGCTGCTGACCGTACGTGGGTTGCTGACCGTATCCGCCAGTGTAAGGAGCCTGTTGTGGGTAGCCACCGTACTGTGGCTGACCGTAGGCTTGTGGCTGCTGACCCCATCCACGGTTGTCACTGCCGGGAGGACCGGCAGGTGGGGCGTAGCCACCAGCAGAAGAGGCGCTGTTTTCATCGTTAGGATGAACCCATATGGATCGAGGAGGTGTGGCCTTGGTGTCAACGTAGAAGTAGCGGTTGTAATTGCTATCCCATTGCTTGACCCATCCCTCTGGCAAAGGTCGGTTATCATCCGTTGGCTTTTCTGACGAGTGTGGTTGTGGCGATGCAGCGGCGGCAGCAGGGTAGGACTGATTCTGCTGAGCGGGTGGAGACTGGCCGCCGTACCCACCTGGACCGCCGCCATACGAGTTCTGCTGGTGGTATGGAGGCTGTTGACTGTAGCCACCTCCGCCACCGTACTGTTGCGAGTTGGGTCTCGCGCCCGCGTTGCCGACCTTGCTGGCCAGCTTGTCTAAGAGACCCATGATTGTGAGCTATCCGTTTCGATTTCTGAGAGAGAGAGAAGGTAGGTGTAAAGGGATGCTTCCTAGAGCGGGAGTATCTTGGAAAGGATGGTGGTAAGGATGCAAGCCGTGCGAGGGCACACGAACCGAGGCAACCGCGACGGCGACCGCGACAGGCAATGTTAGATCGACCGATGAGCTGAGCTGAGCTGAGCTGAGCTGAGCTGAGCTGAAGCGGAGGAATGTGGGCCGAGTTGCCGAGTTAGGATTGCGTATTTTCTGTTGAATTTATCCGGGACTGCACAGCCCTCTGAGATTGGAGATGAATGTGAGATCGCGCTTGCACACATGTTTTTGGAAAGAGGCTCCCGTGTGCCTTGAGTGTGGGAGAAAGAAAGAGGCGCTAAACGAGTGCAAAACTCCGACTTTGAATTGACACCTGAAATACAATATCACAATATCACAATCACAATATCACAATCACAATATCACAATCACAGTATCACAATCACACTCATAATATCATAATCATAATCACAATCATAATCATAATCACAATCACAATCACAATCACAATCACAAACTTGGTGAGAGTGTCACAGAGCCCTTGGTGTGACTTTAGCAAGTATATACTCATATTCTCACACACACACACACACAACACACACATATATATATATATATATATATATATACACATCGCCATCATCATCGTCGACTCAGCTTTCCGGTCGTCTGCCATCAGACGATCACCTTCAACCAATCTGGTTAGGGAGGATTGCAAGTCAGCTCAAGTCACGCCTTCTTCGATTCAAGGGCCTTTAAGCATCAAGAGCTCGTCCGGAGAGTAGGAACACGCAGATGTCAAGGTCTGTGCTTTTCTAAGCACAAGTTGCAGCTTCACACATACAGCATTCTCCCACTTCTTGCGTCTAGACTCTAGCAGACAAATCCCAATCCCCGCAAGGCTCGCTGCAATCTGGAAGAAGATTTGGTCGAGATACCGGCCCCCCTCCCCCTATCACGCACATACACAACCCCCCCCCCACACACGCTCGCGCTGGCATTCGTGCAGCTCTCTATAGTTCACAATGGCCATGCCCACAGCAGAGTCTCACGAATCGCTCTCGGCGGCGTATGCCTCTAACTACGACTATCTCGACTCCAGCCCACAGCAGCACCAACAGCAACAGCAACAGCGTTACTATCAACAAGAACAGCAACAACCACCGCAACAACCCTCTGGAACGCAGAATTCCAACTCCTCATACAACGCTCCTGGTCCTAGCTCCTCTTCGGCTTCCAGCTCCAACGCTGCCCTTTCCCGTGGCGGTGGTAGTGCAGGCTCTTCCGGCTCGCAGTCGTACTACTCTTCTGCAACGACTGCCAACCCTCCTTCTCATCTTCAGCAGCCATATCCACCGCAATACGCCCAACACCAGCAATATCAACACCAGCAATATCAACACCAGCAATATCAACACCAGCAATATCAACACCAGCATCATTCCTCTCCTCCCACAGCCGCCTACCGTCCCTCACGTCAAATCAGTAGCAACTATCCGGAGCATGCCCATTCTGCTGCACTGAATTCCGCCTCGTCCGCTGCCTACACCAACAACGGACCAGCTCCGGCCATTTCTTTCAACATGTACGCCCAATCCAACATCTCCATGCCTGCTCTTGGCCCTGTCGCTGCAGACTCCTCTTCCAGAGCACCGCCGCTTGCAGATGACCTCGGAGACTCTTTTGCCAACATGAACATCTATGGCACACCCAGGCTCGGTCCACAAAGGAGCAAATCACCTGCCCCCGGCTACCATCCTTCTGCAGACTCGGCGTCTACAAAAGGTCTCGCCAGTGCCGCCTCGGTGCGAACCAATGCCATGTATGCCACCCAAGAGATTCATCAATCTGCAGCAGAGGTACAACCCGAGAATTCCTTGGCTGCCATCGCCGATCAGGTCGAACAAGCTGCAGCTCATCTCGATCCTAACACTACTCCATCAATCTCGGCGTCTGCATCCTCTCAAAACGATCACTCCGCTCATCATGGCGGAAGCAGCAGCGCTTATCATGCCGGTCAGAATGGAGGCGGTGGTGGTGGTGGTGGATGTGGAGGAGGAGGAGGAGGAGAAAGAGGAGGAGAAGGAGGAGGAGAAAGAGGAGGTGCTGCTGCTCCAGACTGGGTTCCTCATTCCCAGCATGGAGGTCGTTATGGTGCAAGTGTTCGTCAGCATTCGACTCCTGGCGAGTACCCGCCTGGAGGACAGTACGCTGCTGGATCCATGGATGGACACGGCGCAGGAGATGGCTCACACATGCCTTGGGACCCCAACGCAGCTGCAGCCGCATACTACACACAGAATGGCGCTGCCCAATACCCTGGTTTCCAGCCACAGGCAATCCACCAGGCATCTGCTGGCTATCCTTTCTCAGCACAAGATGGTCATGCTGCGTATCCTTCAGTTGGTGGGCCCTCGGCTTATGAGTCGAACCCGTACTTTGCCGCAGCTTCTGGCTACCTCGGATTCCCTGACGGCGCAGCACCAGGGTTCCCACCCGGAGCCGATCCTTACGGTGCCGCTGCTGGTGCAGCCGGATTGATGCCAATCATGCCTCCCGGAACTCCTGCTGGCGCTGGGCGTCCTACCCTCCTTTCACGCCAAGGAACGCAGCTGTCCATGATGTCCACCAACTCCAACCCTCTCGCCGGCATGGCATCGACCAACCCGCGTCGCAAGTCCAAAGACCCAGCTCCACAACAAATTGTGCCATTCAACAAGTCTTTTGTTGCAGAGTACAGACTACGAATGAAAGGCGATCCTGATCCAGAGGCACAGTTTGCATATGCTAAGTATCTGATCGAAGCAGCCAAAAAGGTGCAGGATCCTGCGGATGGACCCAAGCAGCAACGCAAGTATCGCGACACTTTGCTTTCAGAGAGTTTGAAGTTGATCAAGAGGTTGGCTACAACAGGCATGGGACTAGGCAAGCCACCGTATGCGGAAGCGCAGTTTTTCTTGGCCAACTGCTTCGGAAATGGTAGTTTGGGTCTACAAGTGGATCACGAGAAGGCCTACAATCTCTATGTCCAGGCTTCAAAGCAGAATCACCCTGCTGCTACCTACCGCACAGCAGTGTGCAACGAAGTAGGCGCTGGTACAAGACGCGACCATCACCGCGCCGTCTTATTCTACCGCAAAGCGAGTGCTCTTGGCGACACAGCAGGAATGTACAAGCTCGGAATGGTTCTTCTCAACGGCATGCTTGGCCAGCCGCGTAACGTCCGCGAAGCTATTGTCTGGCTCAAACGTGCAGCAACTCAAGCCGACGAGGATAATCCGCACGCACTCCACGAGCTCGGTCTGCTTCACGAAAAAGCCAGCAACGGCGTCGTGCTCCACGACGAAGCGTATGCACGAGAACTCTTCACCCAAGCCGCACAGCTCGGATATTCTCCCTCACAGTTCAAGCTGGGCTCAGCTTATGAGTACGGTAACCTGACTTGCCCTGTCGATCCACGCCGCTCTATTGCTTGGTACACAAAAGCGGCTCAGAAGGGCGATGGAGAATCCGAGCTGGCCCTCTCTGGATGGTACTTGACTGGCTCAGAGGGTGTTCTCAAACAGAGCGATTCAGAGGCATATCTGTGGGCCAGAAGAGCTGCCTCAAAAGGTATCCCCAAAGCAGAGTACGCCGTCGGATACTACTCGGAAGTTGGTATCGGCGTCAATGCCAATTTGGACGAGGCAAAGAGATGGTACATGCGTGCAGCGGCACAGGGAAACAAGAGAGCAATGCAAAGGTTAACTGAGCTCAAGAAGATGAAAGGTTTGACTGGTAAGAAGGGTGCAAGGCCTACTAGGAAGGATGCTGAGAGCGAGTGCACGATTATGTAGCGACCGACTTGAGAGACACTCTCGGGGGGGGGGGGGGGGGGGAAGCTTCCCTTTCGGCACTCAGCTGCGAAAAAGGAATCACTCCATTCCTAGTCTCTTGCCGCACGCGAACATAGCAAGAGGGGATGCGTGTTTCAGGATGCACAGCCAAGTTACACCAGGCTTTCTCTCGCGGTGGCCTTGTAGCGACTGGCTAATCTAAAGAAGCGCAACTCGTACGAATCTCACCCAACGCTTCAGCAGCGCGCGCATAGATACTCTAGTCCAAGTCGACTCAACACAGAGCAAAGCTTTCTCGACCTCATCACTTGCAACAAGACCTTACGAGCCTCTCTCTTAACACTCTGATTAGCTTGGTGAAACATAGACTGGCACTTATGAAAACGTTGAATTTGCATGTTGATCGTCTACAAAAGAAAAAAATTGACACTTTTGCCATCTACAATCTAGCCCTTGAATTCTGGGCAGTTGAAAGCTGAGCAAGAGTAGAATGGAACCTATTGCTATCTGCACTTTCGATCTTGTTACCGTCGCACCTGTCCTGATGTAACTTTGCTTGGTGAGCGAAAGAAAACCTGCTTAGATCAAGGTTTCGAATGTTGGCACTGATACCAGCAATGGTGAGAAACAAATCGCCTATCATGGGTAAGAACTTGTATGCATGTCCTGAGTCTCCGCTGACGACCCAGATGTTTTTAGCAAATTGCATATTGCATGAGGGATGGTTGTTGAGGGTGTCGATGATCCAGTTTTCGTCGAGTGTATCCGAGTACCAACAGACACGGGTTGTGATGACTCTGTCTTTTTTTGCAAGTGATGGATAGATCTGACTTAGTTCTTTGAGCATGTCGTCTAGTCGATTAGCGGGGATCGTCGATTCAGCCATCTGGTAGTGTTGATCTTCGGAGGTGGAAGCTTCTGCACCGATTTCACGGGCACCTGTTGGGTGTGAGAGTGCGGAATCTTGGAAGCAAGGGTATTTGCCGTTGCATTCACTAGGAGGTTTGGGGTAGAGGTATCCATTGCTGTGGTAGGCGATCTTGATTTGCCATTCATTGAGATCGGGGATGAGGACAGGTTCGAATTGGTAGAAGCCAGAAGAGAAGTTGATGATGACTGGTGTGTCTTTCAACTCGGCTGCTTCGGTGGGGGTAAGACGGAGGATGGCGACACATTGAGCTGAGGGGCGGGTCAACCACTTTGCTTGATCATCCTTGCCTGTCGTACTGGGCAAGAGGGTGGAGAGAAGATCACTAGTCCATGCACCGGTAGCAAGGACAACATTCCTCGCTCCAAAAGTCCTGCCATCAGCAGTCTTTACACCATTGACCTTACCTGCATCATAAGTGAACTCGGTAACCCTCGCATCAGGAACAACCCTAACCCCCAACTGGATCGCATGCTCAAGCAAAGCCCTGCAAGCATTGTTGGCCTCAGCCCAACCACCCCTGGGATTAAAATAACCAGTCTGTTTGCTCCCCATCCCATCCAACCCCTTCCCCACGGTAACCTCTGCACCAACACGTTGAAAAATCTCTTTCACCTGTTCATCACACACCAGTTTGTAGGCAGTCCTCTTCAAACCCTCCTCCCCTCCAATTTCAAACCTCCTATCACCTTCCAACTGGGCATGTTTGATAGCATTCTCAACATACTCCTCTGCACTACCTACTCCACTGAAAACATTCCCCGCCTCACTAGACCTGAACAAAACTCCCACCTCATGGTAAAACGGCTTGAAAAGAGGCCACGTACGCCATCGAGAAATGGCTTCCTTAGCAAGCGTGCCATAATTGCAATCCTTATAATCTGCACGAACAATCTTGTTGAGATCATGCGAAGCTGCATCAGGAGCAACGAAACCATCCGGGGATCGATCGAGAAGAGTAACTTTAAAACCAAGAGTAACGAGGGTGTATGCGATCGAGCTACCGTTCACGCCAGCTCCAACGATGACGTAGTCCGACTCTTGCAACGACATTGCGAAGGAAAGATGGCAGTAGTAAAGCGCGTTGATCGAGTTGATGTTGCTACAAGAATGTAAGCAAGGAAGAAAGAAAGGAAGAAAGGAAGAAAGAAAGAAAGAGCTTTATTCGAGTTCAACACTTTCCACTCGAACCACTCTTCATGTTGTAATGGCAGACTGTTGGACGGATTGCATCGAGTTGTTGCCTAGCAAGAACTTCTGGTTCGGCGCTTTTCGCGGCAAGATAACGATAAAACACCTGGAAATTGGCCGACGCGAAAACCTACTTGACGAAGAAAGCGATCCGACAAGATAATGTACTCGATAATGTACTCTGATTTAAACGCGATCGGCGATCGGATGGGATGGATCAGTCTGGAGATCGGGTGCAACGTAGTCCCACTCGTTGCCATACTATATCATGAAGGAGGATACTCCCACGTTTGTCACACATCCCACAATTGTATATATATCAAACTGAGGATGCTAGGTCCTCAGGATGTTCATCTAAGGGGGTATCAAAGTTTTTGCGATTTTAAAAACGCAGGTTTTTTTGAGAGCATGTTTTTGGAGGGAATTTGAACCCCCCCCAAGGAAAAGCAGGTTTCCAAAAACACAATAGGGGGTTTCAGTTTTCTCTGAGTTTTCAAAACTCCGAGTTTTCATGGTTTTTTTGGATTTTGAAAGCTCACTGCTTAAGTAAGCTCTGCCAGGAAAGAAAAGCTTGGAAGTTTTGAAAACCCCTACTTATTTTTGCTGTGAGCCCAGGTTTCTGAATATTTGAGTTTTCAGCAGGAGTTTTTGTCATGTGCTGATATCACATGATTCTAACACAATTCTGCACACAACCCTTGACCTCCACTTTCTGCACTGTCTACACTTTCTCATGCTTTGAGTTACATCTGTCCTTGCTTCACTTCTATCACCATCTCCAGTAGCATTTCCTCCCTGTCAGTGCCAGGACATGGACATGCCATCCCCTCACAACCATATCAACAACATTACACTATTCACAGCTTTGCAGCAAGCCTCTGGATTGGCTCCAGCATCAGAGCAGTCTTCAACTGCTTTGCAGCACAACACAATAATGTCAGCTCAGTCCAACCTTGATTGCTCTCATCAGCACCACCCTTCTGCAACTTCCAGCACCTTGGCTGGGGCTGAGTCGACTCAGCCAGCAACCTCTCCCACTTCCCCTTTGTCCTCCTCCACTCCTTCTGGTTCCAATGCCACCACATCTGCCAGTTCTTTGCCTCGCCAAACCTCTACCCAGTCAACTTGAATCTCTGCAACTCGCAGACATCAAGCCAGTACTCGTGGCAGCAGGTTCAACAAAACAGATCGTATTGCCTACTTCAATTGGTCACCTAGCGACATAAATAACCTTGTTGATATCATCTACAATAATGATCATTACCAACATGTTCTATTGCCAGGACATTTGACTGTGGAACAGGAAAAGGGTCTGAAGACAAACAAAGATGTTATCTGCAGGCAGATATGGCAGGAGTTGTTCCCAGATGAGTCTACTGTTGGTGGTGCTGGTCAAGTAAAGACTAAGATTTGCTGGCTCACTGAACAGTACAACAACATCAAGAAGACCATCTTGCAGCAGACCAGTGCTGGAGTACTTCTTCAAGACATGGATCACAACAGCTTGGTAAGTACAACTTAGTTGATTCATGTTAAGTGTGCCAACATTCTTATACTTTATATCTCTGTCTATGCTTCTTTATCAACTTGCAGGACTATGCCACATGCAAATCGATTGCTCAAAGCCACCCTTGGTTTGAGCACTGGCACAAGATGATGACCAACTGTGCACAGACTGGTCCAGTTGTTCTTCTCACTGGTCACCCATATGATGCCACCCCTGCCTCCTCTCAGAATAACTCAGTTGATGCTGATGTGAACATGGATGATGCCAGCAATGCTCACTACCCTCAGTGATGCAACATTCCTGGCATGGAATCCATTCTTGAGGAGTTGCAAAATGATCCCATTGGAGCAAGAGTTATCTCATCTTTTTCTTCTTCAGTTGCAGCCACCCCAGCTGCTGCTTCATCTTCATCCCACTCGCCCTTCTCTTCCTCATCCAACCCATCTTCGATTGGCCCCACCCCCTTCACCATTACCCTGTCATGGGCCTGGATGCTCAAGAAGCAGGAGGGTCACGGGTTCATATGGAAGGAGCACAGGTATCGAAGATCTAGTCGAGACCAGTAGAGAGCATGGTCGTAGTGCAGTCTCCATGGAGACCATGGACTCCTACAGACTCACATGCAAAGGAGGGCCAAGCACAGCCACGAGGAGGACCAAGCTCAAGGAGCAGGCACAGCCACGAAGAGGACCAAGCTCAAGGAGCAGGCACAGCCACGAAGAGGACCAAGCTCGAGGAGCATGCAGATGGTTACCACTCAGGGGCTCGAGAGACAAGAGCCAAAGGAACTGTCACTGATCAAAGGAGAAGGAGCAGTGTTGAAGGAGTCGACACCAGGTCATGAGGAGGAGGAGCAGTGTTGAAGGAGTTGACACAGCTCAAGAGGTACAGGGGTGCCAAGCAGGAGAGGCCCCTGAGCAGTACTCGATGAAGAAGGTACTCTCTGGAGAGAGAGCAGGAGCAGCATCGCTGGCAATGCTGAGAAGAGGTATATAACCATGCTTTCTCATCATCATAGGTCAAGTGGATCCTCTTCCACTCTACTCACCATAACTAGTTATCACTTCAGCATAAGTATATATTAGTTTCAGTCAGCATAGCAGCAATCTATTAAGGTTGCTCCTCATTGTAGTGTGTGTGTTGTATCACCACTACCTGACATCCAAAGGCACCCATAGCAGGTTAGCAGTCTGGATCAAGATAGAACTGAAGGCAGTAGTCCACTGCGGTCCGGGGATCACTTCAAGCATCAAGTCAACACACTGGACACTTGTGTTGACGCCACCAACCTTATCACCAACACCATCAACCTCATTATCATCGACATCACCAATCTCATCACCAATACCATCAACCTCATCATCATCAACACTCACACCAGACCTTGGTGTCATCATAACATTGATATTGATCGTGCCGAGCTACCCCTGAACGGAGTGTCCACAGAGGTCAGCCGAAACCTACGATAGTATATACAACGAATGCCACCTGCTGTCACTGCACAACTTGATAGTCACCGATACCGAGACAATAGCTGTCGCACAGTTTGATAGTCACCGAGTATCTCGACAGACCGACCTGGGTTTCAGGCGCGAGACCCCTGACATACCCCTATAGACACTCCAACCCACCAGTGCTCATCCAGCACCACTTTTGAGGCTGATGAAGTGGACAATGGTGATGGTGACTCTGTTTACCATTCTCCAGCCACAGGTACAACACCCAAGAAGTCTTGACCCTTCACTTCCAAGAGCAAGCGAGAAGAGCTGTTGGAAATTGTGCAGGCCTGCACCCAAGACATGCTTCAGGCATGAATCAAGGTTGAGGAGGAATGCACGAAGAGGGAGGAAATGCACATTCAATTTGCCAGGGAAGAAAGTGAGAGACAAGAGTGCATGCAAACTGAAGAGCATGGTTGGCTCATGGAGATGGTGCAGATGATGAACCCTAATCTACCCTTTGGCAACATTGCTGGAAGTAGTCAAAGCAATCTTGATCTTGACCCACTGGTTCTTGCCATGGATCAGCAGGACAATAGCAATTCAGCTTGTGAGTAGACCATTTGGCAAGAATGGTGTTCCTTTTGAGTTCTCCAAGTTCTGTTCCTGTGTTTCTGACTTGTTGTACCATTGCTCTCTGTAAAGCTAGCTCTCAATATGTATGACTAGCATACCCCATACCCAGTCTTCCATGTAATCTCTCAAATGTAGTTTGCTTCAATGTGATGAATTGTTCCACATACAAGATGCTGATCAGTGTAGCCCTGGTTCTGAGCATGCATGTTGCACAGAAATCAGCTGTGCAGAACCCAGCTGCACAGAACTCAGCTGCATTGTGTTTGTAGCTTTGGACTCTCTTTTGGACCACATCATCCTCTCCTATTTCTGGCCCTCTACTTCAACCATGGTGTGCACTTCCAACAAACAGCACCTCCTGGACAACATTGAGACCACCATCATGCACTCATTGATGGTGGAATCCAAGATGCAACTTGATCTGATGAATGTCGATGCCACTTGGCACCCTAATGATGACCTTGAAGATTCTGATGATGACATGTTTGATCATGCTATCTCATTTGTGCTCATAAGGACTTACAACATCATCAGCCAGTCTCGATACACAGTTGAACGCCTTCAACTGCCACAACAAAAGGATCCCCTCATCAACATGCTTGATCGATATGCTGTCATCAACCACAAGCTCTTTCGAGGGGCTGTTCACATGACCCCAGATGCATTCCAAGCTCTCACTTACAGACTCAGCACAACCAATGCCTTCAGATCAATATCAAGCTTTTGGCATGTTCAGCAGCAAGTGGCAGTTGGTCTATATCGGCTTGGATGGTCAGGAAATGGTGGTGGAGTTTGTGATGTTGCATTTGCCTGTGGTTGCAGTCAGGGCTCAGTTCATGTGTGGACAGATAGGACTATTGCAGGCCTATATGAGCTGAACAGCGAGGTAGTAACCTTTGCAACTGAAGACAAGCATGCTAAGGCAAAAGCATGGGTTGCTGATAAGAGTGGAGTTGAGGAATGGTCTAGAGGATGGTTGGTGGTAGATGGTACACACATCAATCTTGCTTGGAAGCCAGCACTCAATGCTCATGAGCATTACTCATACAAGGGTGATTATACATTCAACATTGCCCTTGTCTTCCTCCCTCATTCCTTGTGCATTGTTGAGTTGGTGGTTGGACATCCTGGGTCATCACATGATGCACAAGTCTGGGCTTCAGGCAGTGGTATTGTTGCAAAGCCTCGTTTGCATCTTGATGAAGGCGAGTTTGTCTGGGTTGATGCTGGTTATGGCTACTCCAGCTACACAGTGTCATGGGCCTGGATGCTCAAGAAGC